TCTACCGCGTTGACCCCACCCGTGTGAACGAGTTTGGTATGAGTGGAGAAGACGTCTCAGCAGCAGCATCCAAAGCCCAGGCGCCCACTGCAGCAGGGGCTCTCACACCTGCGTCCAGCACGGCTGTCACTGAAGAGGATGCCTCTACAGTCCCAAAGGCCACTCCGGAGGCCAGTACTGCCAGCCAGCCCCAGGAAGCCCCTCCAAAGCCAGCAGAGGACAAGAAAATGGATTAGCCACTTGGGTCCTCACCTGCTCCTGGTGACCACCACCCACCTCCCCGGCCCCTCCCCTCCCCTCCCTGTCGCCCTCTTCCTGGACAGATCGGGCCAGGGCGGCAGGAGGCCCCCTAGGGCCAGGGCCCAGTGTGTGAGATGAGGGCCAGGCGGGCCGGGGCTGGCTGTATGTATGTGAAGACACCATGGGTCGTCTTGTCTGTTCGTCTGTTCCTGTGTATTTGCAGACATCTCGCCCTGCCAGCCCAGCACCATCGGGAATCATGATGAAGCCAATGTGGCGCCGAGGGTGGGCCAGGCGGGGAAGGGGCCAGGGCTCCTCTGTGGGATGCCTGTGGTCCTCCATCATCTTGTCCCTCATCCCCTGACCACCCCGCTCCCAGACCGCCACCCTTTAACACAGTCTGGATTTAATAAATTCATATGGGTGTTTAACTTAAGCTCAACCATCGCACCTCCACTGCCTTCCTTGCCTGGAATGGGCAGCTGGCTCAAATCTGGGAGGGAGACCTTGAGGTAAATGACGGAATGCGAATCTGGGGTTGTTTCTTAGCTTTTTAAACACTGCTTACCTAGCATGAGCAATGCCCAGCACTGCATAAACCAGTCATGGTGGTGCGTGCCCGTAAGTCAGAACTAACCTGAGCTGCAAATGGCGGCGCTGTCTCAGAGAGATAGGTAGCTCAGTGGGTGAAGGTATTTGCTACATAGCCCTGACACCCTGGGTTTGTACTACTATTGTGCCAGAAGGCCACACAGTCTAAATTGATCACTAGGACACACATAAAGCAGAAGGGAGGGAACCAGATGCAGTGTTGTCTGCTTCCATGCACATACGTGGTGGCACATGTACCCAAACACATGATACTGCCCTGCAAGGGGCCTCCCAAAGGATTCTTCATCTTAGACTCCCATGAGAGTTCTGGCTGAAAACATCCAGTGTCCCTGTGGTTCAGCTACATGAAACCAGGCAGGATTGGAACACTAGACACTACCAGTATAGAGTAAAGAGGCCACCCCCAAAAGGCACAGGCCTTACTCAACACTCCTCAATGGGGACGCCTGAATGGGTCTTGTACCAGTTTACCACCTGGACAGCAGTACAGAGTGAATTCTTGGTTGGCATTGCAATGTCCCTAAACGATGGCTTCAAGAGCCAGCTGAGCTGTCAGTACCAGGAACTGGGTTTGCTCACTCTAGAGAAGTGATAGCCACTTGGCTATTCACCCTATCTTCTCAGACACTGTAGACTCATCCATGTTGCCAGGAGGCCCTGGACCAAGGACCACCCAAGGTTCCGCCTGCTTCCCCACCCTGCTGAGTCAAGCAAGGAAGTCGGAGGTCCTGCGCTCAGGGTAGTGGTAGGTGGTGTACCCATTTTTCTTGCTGGGCTCCTACTCAACCTGCCATGGCTCCCCAGGGTCCTCAGAAGGGTACAAGACTCATCAGGTGGTGTTGGTGCATGCCTTTAACCCAGGAGGCAGAGGCAGATGGGTTTCTGTGAGTTCAAGGCCAGCCTGGTCTTCTACAGGAACTAGTTTCGGGACAGCTAGAACTGTTACACAAGAAAAACCTGGTCTCAAAAAACAAACAAAAAAAAGTACAAGACTCCTACAGGTGAGATCTCAGGGGCTTTTGCTTGCCCCATAACCTCCCCTACATGGGACCCACCCAAGTACCTGCAGGATGCATTGGTGTTTCTTCCAGGAAACCTCTTACCCCCAAGTCCTGATGCTCTCCTAGCAGCTCTGCCCACTGGTACATCATGGCAAGGTCCCTTTCCTGGACCAAGACTTAACTTGTGAGAATATGGCTAGGGTTGTCTTAGTGACCGCCATGTCTGTTTGCTTTCACAGACATCTGAACATGTCCAGAGCCCTTACTGGTGTGCTGGTGGGTGGATCTATAATGTTTGGTTAGCAGCTCCTGAGCCCCAGGCAGATATAACACAGGACAGTTCTATATACATCACAGGGACCAACATTCCATCACAGCCCTGTGAAGCTCACAACCTGGCAGGAACCCTAGAAACTTCTGTATTCTACCACATCCTTGATTTTGAGAGGTTGAGGCAGGAGGATTTGATGGTTTTGGCCAGCCTGGGCTACAAAACAGGACTTTGCGTGCTGGCACTCACTTGTAATGCCAGCACTTGGGAAGGGGGTAAAAGGATCAGGAGTTCAAGGTCATCCTCACTGACTATAAATGGAGTCTAAGACCAGTCTGGGTTACCTGACACTTTGAAACAATAAAGGGGAACACCATGCACGCGCCTTATGCTGTCTCCAGCTGTGAGAGCAGGGCACAGCACTGTTACATAATAATTGTTTTTCATGTTCATTATAGCCCTTTGAAGTTTGTGCTGTTGTTTATCTGTACCTCCAAATGAGAAATCCAGAGCTTTTCCAAAGTTGGGTATGGGGATACACACCTTAAATCTCCGCACTCAGGAAGCAGAGACCAGCTTGGTTTATGTAGCCTGACAAGGAGTTAGAAATTTGAATGGTGCAGGCACACGAAAGGCTATGACAAGGGTCAGCTGTACTGTGTCTTTATTGAACCCTCACAACATCCTTGGGGTTGTTGGGGAAACTCAAGCCCAGAGTGAGTGGGGAAATCAATTGCCTGGGGTTATATAACTGTCCAGAAAACCTAGGATTTGAGCACAAGAAATTGATTCAGGACCCTGAAATTACAACTTCTTTTGAGAGACTGCTTATTTTTTGAGGCCTTGCCATCGATAGCCTAGACTAGCCTAGAACTCATGGCAATTCCCTGCCTAAGCCTTCCAAGTGTTGAAATTACTGATGTGAGATATCTTGCCTGGTGCTCAGATTTGCTCTTGAGTTCACAGTTCTGCTGTGTCAGATCCAAGGCTGGTGTTGGCACTTGCTTTCTTGATGCTGGGCAACCAATCTAAGTCTTTTTGCAAAGAAGGGACTCTCACTGCCCCCAGCCCCTCACTGGGGCTGTGCTCTACCACTGAGCCACACTCCAGCTTCTCACTGGGGGATTCTAGGCAGGGGTTCTACCACTGAGTAACCCCAATCTTTCACTGGGGGATTCTAGACAGGGGCTCTACCACTGAACCATACCCTATTTCCTTTATTTTTCTCCTTTTCCTCTCCTTTATGCTTTGAATTGAGACAAGATCCTGCTATGCAGCCATTGTCCCAGAAATTCACTACTTGTTGGTGAATCTCCCACCTCTTCCTCTCCAGTACCTGGCTACGATATTTTGCTGCTGATGGTACAACCTAGGATCTCATACGTGTTAGGCAAACATTCTATCACAAGTCACATCCTCAGCCCAACAGTAGGAAAAACCTAAAGGAAAGCACTGGTATGACTGGTAAATCCAACTCAGAGGCTTGTATTATGAGATGTCCACCCGGACTTACCTACTACATCGGTACATGACCCCTCTGGTGCAAAAAAAAAAAAAAAAAAAAAAAAAAAAACACTGAAAGTTACTTGATGTTCCCATTTTCATATTCATCAAATTGTGGTCTGTTAGAAAGCAGTCACACTCCTGATTATTTATGGACCATGGCTGTTTATGTACCTTGGCATAGCTGAGAATTAAGAGCATTTGGTTCTCAAAGTCTAGGTGTAATGTGTTCCATCGCAAGAAAAATGTTGCTCTTAGCTGGGCATGATGGTAGGTCCCTGTGATCCCAGCACTCAGAAAACCAAGGCAGGGGGACTGCTATGGGTTCAAATGCCAGCCTGAGCTCCACAGCAAAACCAAAACCATCTTTGCTTTGCTGTGTAGCGGGAGCTACCGCTGTCATCCCATTCATTGCTGCAGTTTCTGTCTCCTGGGAGCAGGAACTGGGCCTGATTTTCGGCGTGCTGTGCCCTAGTGTTCATTACAGGCTGCAGCATGCAGCAGGTGCTGTGCCCTAGTGTTCATTACGGGCTGCAGCATGCAGCAGGTGCTGTGCCCTAGTGTTCATTACGGGCTGCAGCATGCAGCAGGTGCTGTACCCTAGTGTTCATTACGGGCTGCAGCATGCAGCAGGTGCTGTGCCCTAGTGTTCATTACAGGCTGCAGCATACAGCAGGTGCTCGATTAAGCATACAGCATACGTTGCAGGAATCATTGGTCACGCAGACTGAAAGAAATAGAATAGAACACACAGATTTTTACAGAAGCTGTCAGAAAGAGATCACCAAGGGGCTAACGCAGAACATAAGAGTGCTTGTCTAACATGTAAGAAACCCTGGGTACAATCCTCAGTACTGCATAAACCAGGTGGTGGTGCAAGCCTGTCATCCCAGCACTTGGGAGGTGGAGGCAGAAGGTTCTGAAGTTCAAGGTCATCTTTAGCAATGGGGAACCGGAAGCCGGTCTGGGCAAGATAAGATCCTATCTCAAAAAAATTTAAATTAAAACAAAATTATCAGTTGTTGCTAACTTCCCGCTCCTGACTTCCTTTTCCAGCCTGAGAAACAGCAGGTTCAAGTCCTAGTGAGGGAGTAAGGATGCCCGTTTCTCAGCTTGTTCTGCGAATAGGGCGCGGGTGATCTCTGGCAGGCCTCAGTGGTCTCGGCCAGTGCAATGGGCAGCGACAGGCACCAGACCCTACGCAGTGCCAAGCCTGCTCTTCCCGGCCGGCCCCGCCCCCATATCACGTGACCAGCGGGGGTTTTCCCATTCCCTTTGCCGTGACGTCACGGAGGAGTGAAAGCCAATGGGAGAGCAGGCCGGCGGCGCCGGGGAATTCCGCCGCCCCGCCCCCGCCCGCCGCCCGCCCGGCCCGGCGCCCCCCGCAGCCCCGGGCGCCGTGCGTCCAGCCCGGCCTTCGGCCCCAGCCTTGCCCCGCTCGCCCGGTCCGTGATCGCCCCAGCAAATCGGGCCGTCCGGCGCGCTTGCCTTCGTGCGCGCTTCGCCCTGAGCCGGCCTGAGGGCTGTCCGTCCCTACGGGTCGGGCCATGCCGAGTCGCCGCGCTACCAGAGCGTCTGCGCCCGAGCTGGGGGCCTTGGGTAAGCGGAGTGGAACGTCTGGGGCGGGGCTCGGGCTGGGGGTGCGGGACACTCGGAGTTATCTGCAGCTTCCCGCAGGACTCGAGCTTCGGTACGGAGAGTACGAGGGTGGCGGGGACACTGCGTGGGAGACGAGGCAGGAGGCAGAGGATGGTGAAGGGTCCTGCCCGAGGTACGGGCTAGGCGTCCCGCTACGGAGTGAGAAGGGGGCGGGGCCTGAGCCTGAGGCAAAGAAGGGGGCGGGACTCGGCCGCCAGCGAGGAGAGGGGCGGGGCCTGGCTCTGAGGGGGAGGAGCCGGGTAGGCCCAGGGGCGGGGCAAACTCCGAGAGGTCCGAGTGGAGGCTCCCAGTTTACCAAGCGGGTAATGGGCGGAGCCTAATTAAAGAACTGGCTCTGTGTTCTCCAGATTAGGGGACCAGGCGAGGCCCAGCGACAAACTAGGGGAGGACGGGGCCTGACTTCGAGTGGGCGGAATCAGGCCGAGTTTGAGAGGAAATAGGGGCGGGGTCAGACTCTGAGAGCGCGAAGAGGAGGTGTGAGGCTCAGTCAGTGAGTGGGCGGAACCTACCCTGAGGAGAAGGGAAAGAGCCTGACCTGAAGATAAAGGGCGGAGCCTGGCGCGGGATTGAAAAGGGGCGGGGCCTGCACGAGAGAGGAGGGGCGGGTTCTCCAGCATTAGGGCTGGGATCTCGCTCAGAAGGAGAAAAGAAGATGGGGTTTTCCTGGGGTATTCCTCCAAGCCCGACCTTACCCGGGAAAGTAGCAGATGTTGAATGATGATGGACATAATCAATGGCAGAATCGAAAACCCAGAACTTTGTCAAGAGTTAGAGAGAGAAGCCCGGCCTCACCGCAGCTCAGCAAAGAGGACGGGCCTCATTCAAAGGGCTGAGCCCAGGTGAGGACCAGGCCGGCTGAGTCTGGTCTTCTAGCTGCCCTGCCCTGTGTCGTCTTGCTCATTCAGATCTTCCTCTCTCAGGTTCCAGTGACCTTTCCTCGCAGTCACTGACGGACAACAGATCCGCAGGTGAGCTACCCTTCAGTCTCTGCCCATCTGCTTGTAGGAAATGGAGGGACCCCTAGAGAGGGATGATGAGCGCACCTACTTTGTAAACTGTGCCCCTCCATTCTGGTTTAAATGACTCCCTACGTGTCCATACTTCCAAGATAGTTAGAAACTTGCGTAGTTCCATCTGCCGGTCCCCTTTTCGAGGTTGCCCACCATCCAGAATCTGGGACCTTGGAACTGAAGTTCACATGTGATGTTACCACCCTCTACTGGGTGAATGCACAAGTGACTTCCTAGACGCTCCTCAGTTTTCCTCATCTGTGTGATGGATGATATACCCATTTGTTCTTTTGCGGAGCTGGAGAAAGTTGGATGAGCTGATGCTTGTAAATCCAGAGGGAGCATTCCACTTAGCAGTAACTGTTAGTGGCATAGTCATGCTGAGAAGAGCATAATAATAACTGTGTTAGTCATAAGTTCTCAGACCACGTGTGTTCAAATCACCTTGTTGAAAGAAAAAAAAAGGACTGCTGCCCAGAGTGACCGTGCGTGCTGTAATCCCAGTGCAGGAGAAGCTGAAGAGGAGGGTGGACACAAATTTGAAACCATTAAGGACAATGTAGTGAGCTGAAGGCCAGCCTTCAATGTCTCACTATCACTGAATCAAAACACAAAATAGCCAGGTTGTGGTGACGAACACCATTAATCCCAGCACTCAGGCAGGTAGATCTCTGAGTTCGAAACCAGCCTGGTCTACAACATGAGTTTCAGGACAGTCATGGCTGTTACACAGAATAACCCTGTCTTGCAAAACCAAAACTAAAAAACAAGATAAAGAAAAAAAACCCACAAGACAAGGACAAACAAACCAAACCAACCCACAAACAGATGAACAGAGGATATAGCTCCGTTGGGAGAGAGCTTTCCTAGCATACATAACACCCTTGATTTGGTTCCCACCACTGTATAAAATGGGGCCTATTGGTTTACACCTGCAATTCCAGTACTTGAGAGGTAGGAATGAGAGGATCAGAAGTTCAAAGCCAGCCTGAGTTGCTTGTCTGTTGCTGTGACAAAACACAAGACCACGGCAACTTCCAGCAGAAAGTTCACAGTGTTTCGGAGGGTAAGTACATGACCATCTTAGCAGGGAGAATGGCAACAGGCAGGCGGGCATGGCAGGAGTGGTAGCTAAGAGCTCCTGTCCTGATTCCCCAGCAGGAAGTGGGGGGACAGGCACAGGACTAGGAGTGGTTATGTACCTCCTACGCAAGGCCACGCCTACTAATTTCTCCCACATTGATTCACCAGTTGGGGACCAAGTATTTAAACATACAAACCTAGAGGAGCCGTTATCATTAAAACCACCATGGTGGGCAACATAGGAGACTCACCAGCACTCAGGAGGCAGACGCAAGAGGATCTCTGAGTTCCAGGACAGCCAAAGCTGTCTTAAAAAACAACAACAAAAAAAGTTTCTTAAGAAAAAAGACGGGCGATGGTGGCGCATGCCTTTAACCCCAGCGCTCGGGAGGCAGAAGCAGGCGAATCTCTGTGAGTTCGAGACCAGCCTGGTCTACAGAGCTAGTTCCAGGACAGGCTCCAAAGCCACAGAGAAACCCTGTCTCGAAAAAAAACCAAAAAAAAAAAAAAAAGAGAGAGACTATCTCAAAGTGAACTAAATAAACAACAACAAAAAACCTTAAGCACTGATGTGTGGCACAGTGGTAAACTTTTGTTTAGCATGCACTAGGCCCTGCCTTCCACCCTGTCTTAGTTAGGGTTTCTAATGCTGTGAGGAGACACCATGATCATGGCAACTCTTTTTATTAATTAATTAATTAATGCATACCATGTTCTTCCTGCATATATGCTTGCAGGCCAGAAGATAGCACCAGATCTCATTACTAATGATTGTCAGCCACCATGTGGTTGCTGGGAATTGAACTCAGGACCTTCGGAAGAGCAGGCAGTGCTCTCTTAAGCACTGAGCCATCTCTCCAGCCCCCATGGCAACTCTTATAACGAAAAAGATTTTATTGGGTCAGGTTTACAGTTGCGAGGTCTAGTCCTTCATCCTTGTGGCAGGAAACATGGTGGCCTGCAGGCATACATGGTGCTGGAGAAGCAGCTGAGAGTTCTACATCCCAGTTGTCAGGCAGCAAGAAGAGAGAGTGACACTGGGCCTGGCTTGAGCATTTGAAACCTCAAAGTCCACCCTAGTGACATCCTCCAAGGCCACACCTACTCCAACAGGCTGCACCTCTTAAAAGTGCCACTCCCTAGGAACCTATGGGGGCCGTTCCCATTCAAACCACCATACACCTTGAATATGGCAAAACATACACAGACAGTACAGACACCTTTAGGTGTAACTTTTAAAATTTCTGAGTCTACATTTGGAACAAATTCTGGGAGTTTCAGTTTCAGGAACTTCCCGGGAAATGCTTTTCTATTAGATGACTATTCTCATAGGTCCCTCAAGCCAGGCATGGTGCTGAATGTGCTTAGGAGGCTGAGTCAGGAAGTTCTCAAGTTTGAAGTCATACTGTTTACATAGAGAGAGCCTACCTCAAACAAAACAAAACATCAGAGACATGATTTATTTTCTGAGATTTGATGACAGAGCTGGGTCTCACGTGTGTGATACTCAGTAGCCTCAGTGGTTGGTCAGGTCTGGACTTCTCTCAGGGTGGACACTGGAAGCCTGAGCATGAGAGAGGCTGAGAGTTTTAGACGTGTAGAAAGGTAGGGGATGGCCTTGGAGACAGGGATGACCCCAGTGCTGGTTCTGGACAGAAGCAAGCTGAGACTTGTGTGGTCCAAGACACATCTCTGATGTTTCCAGTGAGAGTCATTCCTGGCATCATCTGTCCAGCGAATGTTTACTGAATGCCAGTTCTTTTGAGAGCCAGTGTGGGCATAGTCTCAGCCCTGTTCTTCAGGGCTCCCTACTCAAACGAGGAGGCAGGTCTATAAACAATTAAAGGCGGGATTATAAAAGGCAGTGAGGGCTATGAAGAGATCATGGGGTCAGTGATATTGAACAGCAGGGTGGGGACAGGATGATGAAGTATAGCAAATGGATTCACAGTTGATAGTGTCACTTAGTAAGAGAGTCTATATATAACAGGCAAGCTCTGAACTTCTGAAGTCCATGCCCAGCTTGGAAGTGATTTTGTTTCATTGTTGGAGATAAGTATCTAAGTTACTCAGGCTAGCCTGCAAGAGCTGCAATCCTTCCTGCCTCAGTATCCTGAGTGCTGGGATGACAGCCGTGTGCCTCCATGCCCAGCTCCCTGGATTCTGTTGAGGACCCCTAGGTAGAATTTGTTGAGTATGGGTTTGGTTTGGTTGACACAAGGTCTCACTCTATAGTGTAGGCTGTTCTGGAACTCACTATGTAGCCCAGGCTGGCATCAGGCTCTGAGTCACATGCCCTAGTAGCTGGCAGCTCGTTTGTCTTAGGATCTCTAGCTTCATCCAGCATGGTTATCTGAGAAGGGCTTTTTGTAGGTTGGCACTGTCAGGTTCCCTTTACTCTCCAGGCCTCAGTACACCCCATTTCACGGGAAGGGAGAGACCTTGGCATCTACTGATCTCACAGATCAAATGAGATAAGGGGTACCTGAAAACTGCTTTCTAAGGAGCAAAGTTCTGCTTCCAGGAGCCACTCCCTGTGTGTGGAGAAGGGAAAGGGGAGGAGGAAAGACCTGGCTGATACTGGGATACTACAGGATCAGTCCTCAGCTAGTAGCCTTCAGAACTGGGTGGGACAGTTGGGTGACCCTACTTGCTGCATGACTTCTGGGCTTGTTTGCTTCCTCTGACCTTCCTCTGTCCTGTCTGGGGAATGATGGGAAGTTGGTTTCGATTACTGAGTTTTGTTGGGGAAGCGACAGGACTTCTTCACTGGGTACCTAGTATGGCTGTTACCCTCTTCTCCTTCTGGGAAGTATGGGTAAGCCAGAGATTTGGGGAGCTGGACTATGGTGCAGAGTGGGCAACACCCCGGGTTTGGGCAGCTTCATGTTCAGACTATAGCAGTGATCTCTGGGGCCCAGGGTAGATTTTCAGGATGGAACCTGTTCATAATTTACCTAGATTGCCAGGTGGGTCTCTGTGAGTTCGAGGCCAGCCTGGTCTACAGAGCGAGTTCCAGGACAGGCTCCCAAGCTACAGTGGAACCTAGTCTCTGAAAACAAAACAAAACAACTTGTGTTCATCATCTACCCCAGCACCCTATTCCCTCTGTTGCTTTTCCACAAGTCTGGATAACAAGTCTGAGTGCTTTGAGAGGTGACTTTTGAGTTTCTTTGGGGACACCTTAATGCTGGGCCCTCAACATTAAGAACTGAAGGGATAGCCCAAAAGAGGTAATGGAGATTGGGGATGGGCTAGCAAGTCCTCCTTGGGGACAAGGTGGGAGAGTGTGTTAGAAGATGTCAAGCCTGACAGTACCTGAACTTCACCTTTCTTTTCTCTTCCTTCCACAGATGAACTGGGTGAGTATCAGGAGGCAGGTGTGTGGGAGGCTGAGGGTTCTGGGGAGAATGGGGGCAGGGCTACCTTGTTTGATGGGAGCAGGTCCTGGTGTGATTTCAGGACTATTGAGGACTTGAGCAAGGTCATGCTCCCAAGATCCTGAGCACTACGTGTTTGCGTTTCTATTATCTATAATCTGTAATGCTCACTCATGGATGTCATTGACCCTTCTTGGACCAGGCCCACTGCCAGGCAGTGGGAATCTAGCATTGAACAAAGCTAAGTCACTGCCCCGCAGGAGCCACCAGTATGCACTGGGGAGTTGGGAGACAAGAGAACAGAATGAGCAGGAGAAAGTGAGGTTGAGTGGGGCTTGCAAAGGGAGAAAGACACAGTGCAAGCAGTCACGCCTGCATCATGCCTGGAATCTCAGCACTCACAAGGTGGAGGCAGGAGGATCCAAGAGAATTTGAGTCCCGTCTGAGCTACATAGTGAGTTTTAGGTTAGCCTGTCTCAGAAGAGGGGGAGAGAGAATGGGGCAGAGAAGGGAGAGGGAGAAAGGTAAAGAGGCATGGCTTTCATAGAAATGGCAGCATAAAGTGCCTTACCAGTTGAATGAGGGGGCACCTAGAAACAAGGAAAGAGGAAGAACAAGTTCATGGCCCAGAAGGTGACCGAACTAGGTGGGAACAAGAAACAGGAGGGGTGCAACTGTTTTATCTGAGAGAATGCATTTTAAGGAGTGTTTTGTAAGTTCGTTTTTGAGACAGAGTTTCAAGCAGCCCAGGCTGAAACTGCAGTGGTGGCGCACGCCTTTAATCCCAGCACTGGGGAGGCAGAGACAGTGGATCTCTGAGTTCCAGGACAGCCTGATCTACAGAATGAGTTCCAGGATAGCCAGGGCCACACAGAGAAACCCTGTCTCTAAACAAAAGACTCAGGCTGGTCTTAAATAACTGACTACCTGAGGATGAGAATGACCTTGAACTTCTGATCCTTCTCCTCCCTCCCTAGGGCTGAGATTGGATGCAATGCTGAGAGTGGAACCCAGGGCTTCATGCCTGGGCATGCTGGGCCAGCCTTCTGTTTATTTGAGGCAGGATCTTGCCACGTAGACCAGGCTCACAGTTACCCTCTTGTGGTCTTAACCTTCCTGTGATGGATTTACACATGAACACCTTCACACCTAGATGATGATGATGATGGATTTACACATGAACACTTTCACACCTAGATGATGATGATGATGATGATCATGATTATGATTAAATACTGGGCATTGAACTTAGGGCCTCCCCCATGCTAGGCAAAATTCTACCACTGAGTCATACTCCCAGCCCCTCACTGGGGGATTCTAGGCAGGGGCTCTACCACTGAGCCACACTCCCAGCCCCTCACTGGGGAATTCTAGGCAGAGGCTCTACCACTGAGCCACACCCTCACCCTTTACTGGGGGATTGCAAGGCAGACTCTGCTGATAAAGTATATCATCAAAAAGGCAAATTTTATGTGGGGGACATTGTTAGCCTTGACTACCAAGGAATTGGGAGCCGTGGGATGCTTCTAGGCAAAAGAGGGACAGGTTAGTACTACTAAAATCCCTCTGACTAGATGAGATGGACAAATACAAGAGGCAAAAGGCAGGAGAGGAAGAGAGCTGGCAACTGCCTCAGTCCATGTGGGGTGGTGAATGGAGCAGGGGCAAAAGGGGGAGACCACAAGGAAAGTCAATGTGGTTTGGAAACAGGCGCAGAGGTGGAAGTGCCCTGTGGAGTTCTGCTGGTGGCATTTGCCGGTAATCCAGAGGTGGAGGCAAGAGGATCGCAGATCAGAGAGCAGCCTTGTCTGCACAGTGAAACCCTGTCTCAAAAACCCAAGTGGAAGGACTAGGGAGCCGGCTCAGTGGTTAAGAGTACTTGTTCTCATAAAGACCCAAGTTTGGTTCCCAGCAGTCATGCCGAGGAACTCAGCTCCAGGACAGGCTGGGCACTCATTGGCACATACCTGTATAGATACACAGACACATAACTTTAAAGATCTTTAGAGGTCTGGAGAGCTGGCTTAGCAGTTAAAATGACTGTTCTTACAGACATTCCTGGTTCGATTCCCAGCACCCACATGGCAGCTCACAATTACTTATAACCCCAGTTCTAAGGGCTCAGATGCCCTCTTGCTTCTGAGGGCGCTCGACCTTCCTAGTGGTGCACAGACATATATGCAGGCAACACACACACACACACTAAAACTAAGGGGGGGGGGGCGGAACTTAAAGTGTGAGCCAGAATGGTGGTGCATGGATTAATCCCAGCACTCTGGATGCCAGCCTGGTTTACATAGTTTGAGGACAGCCAGGCTATGCAGAGAGACCCTTTCTCAAAATACCAAACCAAACCACACAAAAACCAAGAATGGTGTGCAGGTATGGTGTAGATCCCAGCAGAGGAAGGTGGCTCTCTGTGTTTGAGACCTGCCTACTCTATATGGCAAGTTCCAGTTCAGTCACAGCTATACAATGAGACCCTGTCTGAAAAGAATAAACCAAAACCAGGTGGGGAAAGTGTGAGAAGAAAGTAAGGGAGCTTAGTCCCGTCCTTCACCGCCCTCACCTATCTGTCTGTCTGTCCTGCAGAAATCATCGACGAATACATTAAGGAAAAGGGTTTCGGCCTGGACAGGGCACAGCTGGGCGAAATGCCTCGTTTGGTGCCTCGCGGGCAGGCCCCACTGAGCACTGTCACCTTGGGTCCAGCCGCACCACCTACTCCTGTCCCACCGTCGCCCTGGAGCTGCACCCTAGGCCGGCTGGTGTCACCAGGCCCCGGCCCACGGCCTTACTTGGTCATCACAGAGCAGCCAAAGCAGCGCGGGATGCGCTTCCGCTATGAGTGCGAGGGCCGCTCTGCGGGCAGCATCCTTGGGGAGAGCAGCACCGAAGCCAGCAAGACGCTGCCGGCAATCGAGGTGCGTGCGGTACTGCCCGTGCCGCTGTTGTACCTGGAAATAGGATCGTGGTGGTTCCATCCCAAAACCTCAAAACAACTTGGGTCATACTTATAAACCTCAGCACTTCGGGAAATTGCGGCAGGAGGAAAATCGGGCCAGCCTGGATCATCTAGAGTGTAACCTTTTTAAAATAACAACAGCAAAGACGAATTAGATGATATGGTGTGGTTGTGTGAGGCTGTTTCAATGACAAACTAGTATTTATGGCCCCAAGACAAGCCATTCAAAGTTACTTTTGCCGCTAGAGGGCAGCACTCACTCAAACTCCTGGGTGAAGTGTGTCACTTCAGGACTGCTTTCAGAAACTTGACGCCAGCAGGTCCAGCCACTAATACGGAGCAAAGTTGTGTGTAAGAGATCAGTTTCTCTGTTGGATTTTTTCAGTGATGGGCATTGAATCTAGGTTTTCGTACTTGTTAGGCAGCTGCTATACCATTGAGCTGCACCCCTCACTGGGGGATTCTATCTAGATTTATCACTTAGTCATGGTCCCATCCTCCTCCTTCTTCTCTTCTTTTTTTTTTTTTAAAGTTTTATTTGATTATGTATACAGTATCCTACTTGCAGGCCAGAAGAGGGCACCAGATCTCATTACAGATGGCTGTGAGCCACCATGTGGTTGCTGGGAATTGAACTCAGGACCTCTGGAAGAGCAGTCAGTGCTCTCAACCCCTGAGCCATCTCTCCAGCCCACCTTCTTCTCCTCCTCCTCCTCCTCTTCTTCTTCTTTCTTTCTTTCTTTCTTTTTTTTTTGAGACAGGGTTTCTCTGTACCTTTGGAGCCTGTCCTGTAAGTAGCTCTTGTAGACCAGACTGGCCTCAAATTCACAGAGATCCTCCTGCCTCTGCCTCCTAAGTGCTTGGATTAAAGGCATGTGCCACCACTGCCTGGCTCACATTTTACTTTTTTTTAACTTTATTTAACTTTATTTCATGCACATTGGTATAATGATGTCAGATTCTCTTGAATTGGAGCTACAGACAGCTGAGAGCTGCCATGTGGGTGCTGGGAATTGAGCCCCGGTCCTCTGGAGCAGCAGTCAGTGCTCTTAACCACTGAGCCATCTCACCAGCCCCTCACGTTTTACTTTTTTAAAAAATATTTATTGATTTATTATGTGTACAATATTCTGTCTGTGTGTATGCGTGAAGGCCAGAAGAGGGCACCAGACCTCATCACAGATGGTTGTGAGCCACCATGTGGTTGCTGGGAATTGAACTCAGGACCTTTGGAAGAGCAGGCAATGCTCTTAACCTCTGAGCCATCTCTCCAGCCCCCCGCGTTTTACTTTTTATTATGAGTCACATCCTCACTCTTTGCCCAGGTTGGCACTCATCTTTTTATCCTTCCTCAGCTCCCGAGCATCTGGAATTACAGGCCTATACTACCAGGCCTGTGATTTTTTTTTTTTCTGAGACAGGGTTTCTCTGTGGTTTTGGAGCCTGTCCTGGAACTAGCTCTTGTAGACCAGGCTGGTATCGAACTCACAGAGATCCACCTGCCTCTCCTTCTGGATAGCTGGGATCAAAGGCATTATGTGGCAGAAGGGCAATCTCTAGCAGGGCCTTTTCATGATTTGTCTCTGGAGAAGAAATAGGGGTAGCTACAAGGGAGCCCCAGGGAGCTTGGATGGGGACAGGGGTCCAGCAAACACCCAACAAGGCCATGTCTTCCTACAGCTTCGAGACTGTGGCGGGCTGCGGGAAGTAGAGGTGACAGCATGCCTTGTGTGGAAGGACTGGCCACACCGGGTACACCCACACAGCCTCGTGGGAAAAGACTGCACCGATGGCGTCTGCAGGGTGCGGCTGCGGCCTCACGTCAGCCCCAGGCACAGGTACCAGACCCTGACTCAAACCCCTGACTCTTGACTCCAGCTTCTTCCCTCTGCTCAAGGAGACTCCAGAGGTGGACACTGCTCCCTGGGAAAGCCTGGGGCATAGGCATCTTGGCCAAACCTTCTTACTCGTCTCGGATGAAGGAGGAGTGTTAGGTGTGGAGACAGCAGTGGCCCACTCTGAAAACCTGCCACACCCGTCCACATCTGTTCCATTTTTGCTTTTTGAGACAGGGTCTTGCCGTGTAGTCAAAACTAACTTTGAACTTGAGATCCTCCTGCCTTGGTCTCCATAGGCAGGTACCAGCAGACCCATTTATCTCTGTTCTGTAGGGGGTCAGAGAGGAGATAGAGCACAGGTGCACAACCTCCAACCTGATTTAACTGTGTCGGCCATACCAGAGAAGAGCTCTTGGGGATCAGTTCTCTCCCTCTTCTGTGGGCGTCCTGAGGGTTGAGCTCAGGTAGTCAGGCTGCCTGGCAAAGACTTTACCTGCTGAGCCATCTAACCAACCCTAGTTTTGTTTTCTTTTGTTTTTTTGAGCCAAGGCCAGGCTAGCCTCAAATTCATGATTGTAGCTGAGGCTGACCTTCATTTTTTTTTTCTTTTGACAGTCTCACTGTGTAGCCTGACTAGCCTGAAACTTGTTGTCTGGGACAGAGATCTTCCTGTCTCTGCCTCCCCAGTGCTGGGATTTAAGAGTGTACCACCATACTTAAAATTGTCTCTGTAGATCAGGCTGTCCTTGAACTCAGAGATCTACCTGCCTCAGTCGCGCCTAAGTGGCTGACCTTAAAGACAGTACCACTACTACCAGGCCATCTTTTTACCTTGAACCTTTGACCCTCCTGCCTTCACCTGATAGCTAAGAGCACCATTGTAGCCATTTATTGAGTTTTTTACTTAATTATTTTGGAGGCATGTTTTCCTGTGTACAACAGGCTAGCCTCAAATTCTGGTTCCCCTGTTTCAGCTTCTCAAGTATAGAGAATCCAGGCTTCCTTTACAGCTTTGATATAAAGGACCCTGGCAGGCATTTTCTTTTTTTCGAAGCAGGGTTTTTTTGTGTATCCCTGGCTGTCCTGAACTAGGTCTGTAGACCAGGCTTGCCTCAAATTCACAAAGATCTGCCTGCTTCTGCCTCACTGGTTTGCCACCATTGCTCACCGGCTGGTGTTTTATGTGGTAAAATAAGGCACGTTCTTGGTCTCAACTGACTCCTGGTGGCCTCTGAGAGATTCGAATCCCAGGTTTTTCCCAGTGCTCTTTCAGCCCTGTGCCTGCAGCATCTCTGCACTTCCTCCTGTGTCCAGGGGAGGCTGCCTCTCAGTCTCTCCTCTTGTCTCCCTTTCAGCTTTAACAACCTGGGCATCCAGTGTGTTCGGAAGAAGGAAATCGAAGCTGCAATTGAGCGAAAAATCCAGCTAGGAATTGATCCCTACAATGGTTAGTGCCCCACCTGCCTCCCTAGCCACTTTCCTTTAGTTGGTGTTCTTTGCTTTCTCTTCTTCCTACTTTCCTTCCTCTCTCGCTCTCTTCCTTTCTTTTTTCAAGACAGGGTTTTCTCTGTGTAGCCCTGGCTATCCTGGAGCTCACTCTGTAGACTAGGCTACTCTCAAACTCACCAAGAATCCCCCTGCCTCCCTGCCTCCTGAGTGCTGGGATTAAAGGAGTGGGCCACCACTACCGGCTTCTTTTCTTTTAAAAAAAATTTACATGTGCTTTTTGTGTGTGTTTGTGTATGGGTTTTGTGTGGTATAAACATGCCTGTAGAGGTCAAAGGATACCCTACAGATGTCGGTTTTCTCCCTCTACCGTGGCTCCAGCAGATGAAATCAGGTTCTAGGGCTCTGCAGCAAGCGCTTTTGCCTGCTGAGCCTTCTCTCCGGCCCTTCACTTGGTTTTTCATTTTGGTTTTCAAGACCAGGTCTCAGCCTAGACCAGGCTGTCCTTGAACTCCTGTGTAGCTGAGGTGATTGAATCCTCCCCAGTGCTGGAGGAACAAGTGCATGTCTCCCTGCCTTGGTCCCCTTCCCTCCGTCAGCCTGCTCCAGCAGCTCAACCAACTCCAGCCTCCCTTTGTCCTCCCCCAGCCGGCTCTCTGAAGAACCATCAGGAGGTAGACATGAATGTTGTCAGGATCTGTTTCCAGGCCTCCTATCGTGACCAGCAAGGACAGTTGCGCCGCCTGGAACCCGTCCTCTCTGAGCCTGTCTACGATAAGAGTGAGTCAAGGCTGCCATGTCCCTTGGGATTGTCACGGGTATCAGAAAGCCTGGATGAGCAGGGCATCGTTGAGGTTTCTGGGTTTTCGTTTTCTACATTTGCACAGTGGTTCGGTGTCCGCAGTCTCAGGGAAGCTGGGTCTGTACTTCTTCCATTCATTCTCTTTCCCTCCTGGGCACGTAGTGAGGGCCATGACTCCAGACATCACATATGCAGATGGGCAGTGCCGTCCTGTGTGCTTGTACAGTTTGCACCTTGTCTGGTTCTACAGTTATTTCTCTTTCCTTTTGTACTTACATATGGTGATTAGGACTTCTCACTGTCCTCTACCCCATCTTAGCTCCTCCCACAGGTCCCTTCTTTGTGTTTTATTTTGTAACCCACTGATTTTAATTGGGACCCCTGTATGACCACAGCTTGGGAACTGTCTGCTGAAGCCACGTGGATTCACCTTTGGATACACAAACAACAACAAAATGACGGTCCTTTCCCCAGAACCCATCAGTAGCCAGTAGTTCATTTTGAGACAGGCCTCAGTTGGCCTCAGTTGGCCTTGTAGCTGGAGATGACCTTGAACCCTTGATTCCTGCCTCCACCTCCTGAGTGCTGAGATGACCAGCCTGAACTACCAGGACACATTTATTGAGACTCGGGCTTGATCCCAGGTTTTTGTGCGTGTTAGGGAGGTACTTGAGCCAAATCCCCAGGCCTGTGTTTATTATTTTAAGACATGATACCACTATGTGGCCGAGCAAATCAGCAATCCTTCTGTCTCCACCTCCTGAGTGGAGGAATCACAAGCATACACTGCCATGTCTGACATCATACAGTTTGCTCTCGGCTTCTGCACACGCTCTCATTGGCAGGAGTTTGGTCATTTGCTCCTCAACCATTCAGCAGTGTCCATGGGGAGGTACTGCTCTGATTGATGAGGTCTAGGCCGTAGGATTACTGCTGACCTAAAGAATGGCTCATCACTCTGAGCTCTGAGTTTTCAGAGCTGCTAATAAAAGAAGGACCAGGACTATTGGTCAGGCTAAAGGAGTGTGGACTCCAAGACGTCAGGTCAGGTGGCAGATAGACGTGTGACAGGTGCTTGTAATTCCAGCCACTGGGGGAGGCTCAGGCAGGGAGAGGGTAAGTAGATTCAAGGCCAGTGTGGGCAGCTGATCAAGATTAATCTAGGTGTGATAAAAGAAGAGAGCTGTAAGTGTGGCTCAGCAGTAGAGCCCCTGCCTAGAATCCCCCAGTGAGGAGCTGGAGTGTAAATCAGTGGTAGAGCCCCTGCCTAGAATCCCCCAGTGAGGAGCTGGGGGCGTTACTCAATAGTAGAATTCTTTTTTTTTTTTTTTTTTTTGGTTTTTTGAGACAGGGTTTCTCTGTGGCTTTGGAGCCTGTCCTGGAACTAGCTCTTGTAGACCAGGCTGGCCTCGAACTCACAGAGATCCTCCTGCCTCTGCCTCCCGAGTGCTGGGATTAAAGGCGTGCGCCACCATCGCCTGGCTCAATAGTAGAATTCTTATGTAGCAAGATCCTAGGTTCCATCACTTCCACTGGGGGGAAGCATACAAATAAACACAGTATTTTAGGTTGTAAACCCTCATCTGGGGACCTTGTGTCACCCTGGACAAGTCTCCCTGAGTCTGGGGGGTCTCCATTTTGGATAGACACTAAGCATATTTCAGAGGGGAGTTCTGGTCATTGTACGTTGTACCTGTCCGTTTGAGCATTCTGTGTCCCACCTGGAAAGGATGTCTTCCCTTTCTGTCTCTCTCACCTGTCAGCAAGCCCCGTGATGTGATAACTGAATTGTTGATTTTCCTTCTGCATTCCTCCCCAGAGTCCACCAACACATCAGAGCTGCGGATTTGCCGAATCAACAAGGAGAGCGGGCCGTGCACAGGTGGTGAGGAGCTGTACTTGCTGTGTGACAAGGTGCAAAAAGGTGAGAGGTCCAGAGGCAGAGGAGGGTGCTGGTTTACCACTCTGGAGGGAGTCAGAGCCTTTGCTGCAGAGTCAGGCAGATGCAGGCAATGGCTTTGTTTGCTAGCTCATCTCTGCCAGGTATGGAAGCCAATGAGCTGACCAAGGGTATGCAGTGCTCTTTCAGGATGCTACCACACTAAAAATGCAATTGCTCAAATGTTTTAAGAGGAGCTAGGGATGTGGCTCAGTGGTAGAGCCCCTGCCTAGAATCCCCCAGTGAGGGACTCAGTAATAGGGTAAGTGCTTGTCTAGCATGGGTGAGACTTGAATTTCATTCCTAGGATTGTAATATATAATTAAACCAGTCTGATGGCACATGTCTGTAATTCCAGCACTCTGGAAGGTTGGAGCAGGAAGGCTTCAAGCCAGCCTGATCTACACAGTGAGACTGTCTCAAAGGTCAAGCAAACCAACAACCAAAGAAGGAAAGTGTGAATGGTACAGGACTGACAGCCGGAGAAAGGAGGGATCCTTGCTTTGTCCCCAGTGGAATGGTCCTGAGTAAAGGATGGTTTTTCATTTTTGGTAGTTGGTTTTTCAGTTTTGTTTCCAAGCCTATTTGAGGAAGGGGCATTTAAAAACAAGCTAATGACAGGGCAGGGCATTGACCCATCTTATTTGCTTTCTCTCCACCTGTTATGATGATGATCATAAAGCAAGAGGCTTCCTGGGAGTTTTTCCAGTTCTTTGCTTTATGTTTTTATTGTTGTTGTTATTATTTCTTTTGTATATGGGTATTTTGTTTGCGTGTATGTCTGTGTGCCAGGTGAGTGCAGTGCTTGAAGGTGTTGGATCCCCTGTGACTGGAGCAATAGTTGGTTGTGAGCTGGCTTGTGGGTGTTGGGAACCGAACTCTAGTCTTCTGGAAGCAGCCAGTGCTCTTAACTCCTGAGCCCTCTCTTCAGCCCTTGTGTTTGTTTTTACTAGGAATGTTTTGAATCACAAGATGTGGTACAGGGTAGGCAGGGGCTCTATCACTGAGCCAGACCCCAGCCCCTCACTGGGGGATTCTAGACAGGGGCTCTACCACTGACCATGCTCCCACACCTTCCTGGTGGATTTTATACAAGCTCTGTACCACTGAACTGTGCCCCTAGTTCTTTTACACCAAATTTTGAGAGAGAGTCTCACTTAGTAATCTAGGCATACTTTGAATTCACAGTCCTCCTGCTTCAGTCTCCCAAGTGCTGAGATTATAGCTCTTTGTCACCATACCTGTGTGATTTTCTTTTGTGTAGAGACCCTGGGTAGTTGGGTTTGTTGGTTGTTTTATACAGAGACTAACTGTGTTTCTCTTACTGTCCTGAAACTCACTGTGTGTACCAGGCTGCCTTCAAACTATGAAGGTTCTCCTGCCTCTGCCTCCTGAGTGCTGGCATTAAAGGAATGCACTGCTTTGCCAAACGTCCCAGGGTAGTTTTATTATTTGAAATACTGGTTGGATTGGGAGGAGACTGAGTGAGTAGGGGCTCAGTCGCTTGACTTAGCTGTGTCCTCACCCTGACCTACCCCCACCAGAGGACATATCCGTGGTGTTCAGCACGGCTTCCTGGGAAGGCAGAGCCGACTTCTCTCAAGCTGACGTGCACCGGCAGATTGCCATTGTGTTCAAGACGCCACCCTACGAGGACCTGGAGATTGTAGAGCCTGTGACTGTCAATGTCTTCTTGCAGAGACTCACGGATGGGGTGTGCAGTGAGCCACTGCCCTTCACATACCTGCCTCGGGATCACGGTAACCACTCCACCCACTGCTACCCCCAACTCTGGAGAACAGGTCTTTGGCCTTGCTTGAGGAAGTATATCTGGGGAAGAATTAGAGGCAGAAGGCACACCTGGGGCAGTATCTCTGTCAGTAAAGTGCTTTCTCTGCAGGCCTGAGGATTTGAGTTCAATTCCCAACACCCTGGTAGAAAGCCAGGCAGGGTTGCTTGTTCCTAGCACTGGGAAGATGGAGTCGGCTGGGTTCCTGAGACGTCTAGCCAGCAAGACCCAGGCTGACCAGAAAACTGCAGGCCACGAGGAAATTATCTCAAAACAAAAGAACATAATAAAGCAAAAAGTTAGATGGCAAATGCGGAATGGCAACCAGGGTTGACATTTGTTCCCTGTACATGTATAACTGTACACACAGAGAAAGGTGAGAGAGAAGGTGAAAGCAACTGGGCTAGCCAGTACGAAGGCCTCAGGAAGGATCTACAGAAAACTGTGTTGAGCTTTTATCCTAATTAGGAATATAGAAATCTACTTGTATAAGTTGGTGAAGACCCAGTCCTCCTTTTAATGACTCCTGTGATCGAGTGTCATAGTGACTTCTATGACAGACTGTTATGATGACCTCTGGTTGTCATTGTGACCTCTGTGACTGTCACAGTGACCTCTCAGACTGTCACAGTGACCTCAGACTGTCACAGTGACCTCAGACTGTCACAGTGACCTCTGTGACTGTCATAGTGACCTCAGACTGTCACAGTGACCTCTCAGACTGTCACAGTGACCTCTGTGACTGTCACAGTGACCTTAGACTGTCACAATGACCTCTGTGACTGTCATAGTGACCTCTCAGACCGTCATAGTGACTTCTGAGACTGTCATAGTGACCTCTGAGACTGTCATAGTGACCTTTGTGACTGTCACAGTGACCTCAGACTGTCACAGTGACCTCTGAGACTGTCATAGTGACTTCTGAGATTGTCATAGTGACCTCTGTGACTGTCACAATGACCTCTGTGACTGTCACAGTGACCTCTGAGACTGTCATAGTGATCTCTGTGAATGGTTGTCACAGTTACCTCTGTGACTGTCATAGTGGCCTCTGTGACTGACCATCACAGTGACCCTTGTGGCCAATCGTCATAATGACCTCTGACTGATTGTCAAAGTGACCTCTGACTGTCATAGTGACCTCAGTGACTGACTGTCCTAGTGACCTTGGTGGCTGTCACAGCGATTAACTGCTGTTTGATGTTTTGATGCTTCTGCTCTCTCCTGAACAGACAGCTATGGTGTGGACAAGAAGCGGAAGCGAGGACTGCCCAATGTCCTTGGGGAATTGAGTAGCTCTGGTGTGTTCCTCTACCCCTGCCCACACCCGTCCCCAGGTTCTTGGGAGGGCCAGGTGATCTGCTTGGGGAGGGTGGGTCGGCAGGGTAAGGAATCCTTATCTTCACCTTCCCCCAGATCCACATGGAATTGAAAGCAAACGACGGAAAAAGAAACCAGTGTTCTTGGACCATTTTCTTCCTGGCCACAGCTCAGGTGAGTGTGGAGTCTGCAGCCTCCTCCTCTCTTTGTGGGCAACAGGAAGTTTGTCCCGTCCTGTTTCTCTGTTTAGAAAGAATATTTCATCTCATATGTATGGGCATTTTGCTTGCACATACATGTGTGCACCATGTGCATGCCTGGTGCTTACAGAGGCTAGAAGAGGGCATCACATCCTCTGGAATCGTAGCTCCCGACAGTTGTGAGCTGCCACGTGGATGCTGGGAACAGAACCTGGGTCCTCAGCAAGAGCAGCCAGTGCTCTTAACCACTGAGCCATCCCCTTCAACACTTCAGATTTCTTCACCTCCTCTGAACGCTTTCCCAAGGTCAGCAGCTGACCACACATCTAGCAACCTGGAGTAAAAAGAACATGGGGTCTAGGAGCCTGGTAGTGGCTCACATCTATGGTCCTAGCACTCAGGAGACTGAGGTAGGGGAATTACCAATAGTCAGAGGCCAACATAGTCTGCATACAGTTTCAAGACAGACCTGTTCAAGCATTACATCTCATGGAAGTGTAATTAGAAGGCTTTGGAGACAAAACAGAGGCTATGATCTCTTCAGGGAATATTTGCTATGTGACTTTTCCCAAATCTCTCCACCTTTCTGAGCCTCAGGGATCCTTAGAAAAAGTCTTTTAAAAATTACCTTTTAAATTTATGTTATTCATTTCTATGATTATGTGTGTATAATATGGGTGCATTGCATCACAGCATATGTAGGAGGCAGACTGGATATGGTATTGCACACCTTTAATCCAGTACCTGGGAGGCAGAGACTGGTACATCTTTGTGAGTTCAAGGTCAGCGTGCTCCACACAGCAAGTTCCAGGCTAGCCAGGACTACATAGTGAGACCCTGTCTCAAAACCAACCAACCAACCAACCAACCAACCAACAAAAATCTTAAAACAAAATACACAACCCCAACTTTGTAGAGTCAGTTCTTTTACAAGGGGTTCCAGGGGTTGAACTCAGGTTGTTAGGCATTTGTAGGAGTATTCCCATCTGCTGAATGATTGCACCAGACCTGGAAAGATCAGCACAGATCTAGGCTTGGACATTGTCTTCTGCTCCGGGCTGGGCTGTAGCTGACTTGGCAGCTAGCTGGTTGTCTGGCCAGAGCCCTGCATTCATTCCCAGCACCACACAGTTCAGATGTGCTGGCACCTATGTGGGAACCTCAGCTCCTGAGAAGTAGAGGCAGGAGGGCCAGAAGTTCAGGGCCATCTTAGCTACACTGTAAGTTTGAGAGTCCTCTGTGCTGAACAGAAACCTCATCTCAAAAGACAGCATGATGGGATTACTGACTCTGGCATACAAGTGTGTCTGATCCTGTCAGGAAAGCTAAGCAGGGTCAGGCCTGCTCAGTCCTGGGGATGGGAGCTGTCACTGCAATACATGATGCTGTAGGTTGAGATTTTTGTTTTATTTGTTCCAAGAAACTCTCTCCTTGAAACCATCCTGGTGGGGGCTGGACAGACAGGTGGCTTCCACTGTTAGAGCAAAGGCTGCTCTTTCTGAATATGGGGGTTCGATTCCCAGCCCCCACATAACATCTCACAAACACCTGTAACTCCAGCACCAAGGCTCTATTGCCTTCATCTGGCCTCCTTGGGCACTGCATGCATTGCATATGGTGCACAGACAAAACACTCATGTACATACAAAATAGAATTTTCAAAAAAGACAGCCATCTTGCCCCAGGCTCTCCAATGCTGAGATTACAGGCTGCCATACTCAGCAGAAATAGTTTTAAAAAATTTTTTTTTGAGACAGGGTTTCTCTGTGGCTTTGGACCCTGTCCTGGAACTAGCTCTGTAGACCAGGCTGGTCTCGAACTCACAGAGATCCGCCTGCCTCTGCCTCCTGAGTGCTGGGATTAAAGGCATGCGCCACCATTGCCCGGCTGGAACTAGCTCTGTAGACCAGGCCGACCTCGAACTCACAGAGATTCTCCTGCCTCTGCCTCCCACGTTCTGGGATTAAAGATGCGCTTCATCACCGCCTGGCTTCGATAGTTTAAAATTTTCAACTAAATTAAACTTACCATCGTCTGCGCGAGTGCACATGCGCAGGACAACTGTCAGGAGTTCTTTTCCTCCTTCCATGGAGTCATCTTGCCAGCCTGGGTGTGTTTGTGTGAGACGGGATCAGCTTTAAACTCCCAGACATCCTCCTGCCTCTGCCTCTTGTTAAAGAAGAGTACCACCACACCTGGCCCTAATTTTGTTCTTCCTTTGAGCCAGCATCATATCTGTCTAGCCCAGGCTAATCTGGAACACGTGGAACCCTGTCTCAGCTTCCCAAGCTGGGATTACAGGTATGAGCTACCCGGGCTACCAGAGCCAACTCAGTTATTTTATTTATCTACTTTTAAAGTCTCTCACCCAGGCTAATAGTAGAGAATTGGCCTTGAGCTTCTGATCCTTCTCCCTCTACCTCCCAAGTGCTTGGGTTATAGGCATGTACTATTATCTGGGTTTTTGTGGTCCTAGGGATTGAACCCAGGGCTTCGTGCATGCTAGGCAAGCACTCTCCCAACTGAGTTATATCCCCAGACCTAGATGAGTTCTTCCTTTTTTAGTTTTTAATGATTTAATTTATTTTTATTATGTTCATTGGTGTTTTGCCTGCATGCATGTCTGTGTGAGAGTATCAGGTCCCCAGGAACTAAAGTTACAGGTGTGAGCTGCCATGTGGATGCTGGGAATTGAATCTGCGTCCTCAGGAAGAGCAGCCAGTGCTCTTAACCAGTGAGCCATCTCTCCAGCTCCAGATCAGTTTCTTTTTACAGACATTCAGTGACAGGCCCCTTAGCTGTGTTTGTGCTCACTCCTTAGTTTGCAGACCATTGCTGTGCGCTGCTTATCACAGGCTTTAAAAACCAGAGGCGCAGATAGGTGCCATGCCTCCCGCGAGATCACAGTGTAGGGAATCTGTTGCTGGGGAGGGGAAGATGGACATGTAGGCCATCTGTATGGAGCCGCAGTGGTGAGTGTGAGCCTGGCAGCAGCTGGCACAGGATGGAAGTAAGCTCATCTCTAGTTCTGAGCCTTTTCTCAGCATAGCCACCTGCTGGCCTGTTTTAACTATACACATATGTATCCATGTGCACTTGTGTGCATACAAGTACACACAAAAAAGAAAAATGAGAGCTGAGTAGTGGTGGCACATGCCTTTAATCCCAGTACTTGGGAAGCAGAGGTAGGAGGATTGCTGAGTTCAAGGCTACCTGGCCCCTTTTCATGCAATTTCTACCTCCTGGCCAAAGGTGGCTGCTGCAGCTCTTGCCATCGACTCCATGTTCCAGTTAGCAGAACATTAGTGAGCTCTGCTCTCCTTGTGCTGCTGTGAGAAACATGAAGACCAAATTGCAGCAACTAAGGGGAGGAGGAGGCAAGCATTTATTTCAGCTTTAGGTCCCAGTCCATCACTGAGGGAAGTCGAGGCAGGAATTGAAGCACAAAGCATGGAGGAGCACCTATCGCTGGCTTGCTCTCTGGTAGACCCACACTTAGCTAGCACTTTTATTTAGCCCAAGACCACCTGCCCAGGGAATGTAGGCTGGGTGTCCTATGTCAATTAACAATCAAGACAATTCCATACAGTTATGCCCCTAGGCCAATCCAATCTGAGCAAACCCTCCTTTAGAATTCCCTTCTCAGGAGACTCTGGGCTGTGTCAAGTAGACAGTTAAAGCTGACTGCCACATATGACAGCATTGAACTCCAAGAGAGTTCATGTCTGCAGGCATGGTGGCTCACCCCTGTAAACCCAGCGCATGGGAGACTAAGCTAGGACTGTGGTGAGTGTTCTGAGTTCTGCAGTGGCTGCCAGGGCGTCTCTGTCTCTCTGTCTCTGTCTGTCTGTCTATCTCCCTTCCTCCCTCCCTCCATACCTACTCCACCATAGCTATACCCTTAGCCCTGCTCCTTTTGAGAACCTGGATCCTGCTCTGGTTCTGTGAGTAGACAGGCTGTGACTAGCTGTTATTTCACTCATCGCCTTTAATAATTTGCTTAGAGGCTGGAGAGATGGCTCAGCGGTTAAGAGCATTGCCTGCTCTTCCAAAGGTCCTGAGTTCAATTCCCGGCAACCACATGGTGGCTCACAACCATCTGTAATGAGGTCTGGCGCCCTCTTCTGGCCTGCAGACATACACACAGACAGAACATTGTATACATAATAAATAAATATTAAAAAAAGATTTATTAAAAAAATAATTTGCTTATTGGGGGCTGGAGAGATGGCTCAGAGGTTTTAAGAGCACTGGCTGCTCTTCCAGAGGACCTGAGTTCAATTCCCAGCAACCACATGGTAGCTCACAATCATCTATTGGTGTGCAAGCATACATACATGCAGGGCAGAACACTGTATATATAATAATTTTAAAAATAATAATTTTATTATTAAAGAAGAATGATGGACTGGAGGATATAGTTCCATTGTGAGAGGCAACTTAGCATGCAAAGCCTTGGGTTTGATCCCCAGTACCATGTAAAAACTCAGATGTAGCACTTGGGAGGTAGAGGCAAGAGAATCCAGAGTTCAGAGATATCCTTGGCTATTTAGCACATTTAAGGTTAGCCTCGGCTACAGGAGACCATGTCTTATTTTTAAGGATTTTTTAAACGTGTTTATTTATTTTGCATGTAAGTGGGAGCACACATGTTCCACTCAGGTTGCATGTGGAGACCAGAGAACGTCTTCCAGGAGTCGATGCGTGGGTTCTAGGACTCCACTTGCACCAGTCATCAGGGCTGGCAGGACGCACCTTTCACCAGTGAGGGGTCCGGATGGCCTGAGACCCTGACTTTAGTTTTGCTTATTTACTTGTATGCAGGTCAGGGTGACTGTATGGCACAGGCATGCACCCCATGGAGGCCAAGAGAGGGCGTCAGATCCCCAGGAGCTGGAGTTACAGGTGGATTTTGAGCCACTGGAAGTGGGGATTAGGAACCCAACCCTGTTCCTTTGCAAGAGCAGCAGGTTCTTAACCACTGAGCCATCCTTCCACCACTGCCTCCTTAAAGACAGGGTCTTGTGGAACTCGTGTGTTACACACACACACACACACACACACACACTATCTACAAAGGCAAACACTCATAGCATTAAAAAAATATGGTCGAGTGTGATGACTCATTGGATAAAGGCAATTGTCATACGAGCTTGGACCTGAGTTCTGTCTCCATATAAAGGTAGCAGGAATGAAGTGACTCCACAGAGGTGAACTCTGACCTCCCATTCACAATGGCAGCAGGTTCGCCCACTCACACACATCATGTGCACACACCCATCCACACAAAATAACATGGAGTGGTGGCACTTCCTTCCTACTCAGGTTAGGTTTAAAGGCCTAAGATAGAATACATTTGCCAGGCGGTGGTGGCACACGCCCTTAATCCCAGCACTCGTGAGAAGAGGCCGATAGATCTCTATGAGTTTGAGGCCAGCCTGGTCTACAATTCGAGTTCCAGGACAGCCAAGGCTACACAGAGAAACCCTGTCTCCAAAAACAAGACAAAACAAAAATTCATTCAGTACCATGGGGTCCAGGTTTCTTACTGCCTGGCTCGAGGTGGGTTCTAATCCAGCCATTCTTCTCTCTTCGCCAGGCCTGTTCCTCCCACCATCAGCTCTGCAGCCGCCAGACACTGACTTCTTCCCTAGTGCCATATCTCTTCCAGGCTTGGAGCCTCCTGGCGGCCCCGACCTCCTGGACGATGGCTTTGCCTATGACCCTTCTGCCCCTGCGCTTTTCACCATGTTGGACCTGCTTCCCCCAGCACCACCACTTGCCAGTGCTGTGGTGAGTGGTGGGGGTGCAGGGGCCACGGTTGTGGAGTCTCCTGGCCCGGAGCCCCTGACGCTGGACTCATATGCAGCCCCGGGTCCTGGAGATATTGGCACCGCCAGCCTTGTGGGCAGCAACATGTTCCCCAACCAGTACCGAGAGGCAGCTTTCGGGGGTGGTCTCCTGTCCCCAGGGCCTGAAGCCACGTAGCCTTTGAGGTGCCAGAGGAGGTACTGGGTGAGGAGTGTGCTAGAGCACACCCCATTCCCTGAGGCCAACCTTGACCAGTCTTCCAGCTTCCTCATCCTGAATCGGACATCTACAGTGCTGGCAGGAAGCTAGGGAGAGCTCCGGTTCTCCTTGAGCCCATTTTACAGATGAGAGCGACAAGTCCGAAGAGGAAAAGGGGCTCCTGCAGGAAGGCCCCTTCTCAGGACAGATTCTGAGAGATTGTACATAGGGGAGGAGGGAGCAGATCCCTGGCCCTCTTCCCTGATCCTGAAGGTGGGGGTAGGTTGTTTGTGCAGTTTTCCCAATAAAAATTAGTTTTTTGAGGCTTGGGGGTCTCCTCTTCTTTGCCTGAGAAACACTAGGTTAGTTTGGAATTAAACAGTTGTGGCTGAGGGGCTGACCAGTTGGTTCCGCGGTTAAGAGCTATCGCTGCTCTTGCAGAGGCCCCAGGATCAATCTCTGCATCTACATGGCAGCTCCGAATGTGTGTTGGTTATTCTTGGTTATCAGCTTGACTTACATCTGTAACTAAAACCCCAAAATGGAGGGCACACATATGAGGGAGTTTTTATTTAATTTGAAGTAAGTAATCTGGATCTAATCTGGGCCACACTTTCTGCTGGAAGCCTACATAAGGACATGGACGAAGGAAGCTTTTGTTCTTTGCCTTCTGGCCCTCTCTTTGCTAACAAGTCCATTTTTTACTGGCAGTGGAATTCCTGTGTCCACCGAAGTCCAGCTGAGACATTCAGCCTTGTGGACTGAACAACTACTGGATGTTTAGACTTTCTGCTAATCATTGTTGAATTAGCTGGACCACAGCCTGTAAGTCATTCTAATAAAGCCTCTTTCTATGTATGTAGATTCATTCTGAAACTTCTGTTGTTCTAGAGAACCCTGACTAATACACAACACACTTGACGCCCTCTTCTGGCTTCCAGGGCCATCTACATATACAGGCATGCACATAACATCTTTTTTGTTTGTTTTTGTTTTTCGAGACAGAGTTTCTGTGTAGCAACCCTAGCTGTCCTGGAACTCGCTTTGTAGACAAGGCTGGCCTCGAACTCAGAGATCTACCTGCCTCTGCCTCCAGAGCGCAGGGATTAAAGATGTGCGCCCGGCTAATAAATCGGTTTTTAAAGGCTTTATGTGTTTTATGCGTATGGGTGTTTTCTTTGCATGTACGCACACCAGAAGAGGGCACTGGATCCCATGGGACCAACCAGAGTTATAGACTCCTGTTGTGAGCCATTTGGGTGCCGAAAAGTAAACTCGGGACTTCTGGAAGAGCAGCCACTGTTTTAACCACTTAGCAACCTCTTCAACCCCTAAGATAAAATAAATCTTTAAAAACAACGACAACAATAATGTGTCTGGAAAACTGTGTTTCTCGGCTTGCGCTTCCAGACCACAGAGTCGCTAAGACCCGCCCCAGATCGTGCCACCATACAGGTTCCGCCCACAAGTCGAACCAATCCACTAGACCACACCCAGTTCCCCCTGATCCCGCCCTCGCGACTGCGGAAATGCCTTTTGTGCGGCACCGCCTCTCTCCTTCGCTCAACCTCTGACTTCCGTTTCCGGTGTGAGCCGTGAGCGCGCGCGAGCGCAGCAGTGGGAGGCGGCGACCAGCCGGTGAGTGCAGGCGTCCGACCCCGACCTCCCGGCTGCCGAGCGCTGGCAGTCAGGCCTCATCCTTGCCCGGGGCGTTCCTGGGATTGCCGAGGGTGACCACCAGGCCCTGAGGGCCATCCCACCAGCTTCCGTCCTCACAGGCCTCAGGCTGCGCCCCTCGCCCCTCCTCGGGCCCGAGTCCGCGCCGTAGGGCTCGGCCGGGACCCTGACTCCCAAACGGAGCTCCGCCCCTGCCTCACGCCCACCGCGCCCAGCCGGGCCGGCGCTCTTCTCAGTTTCGCCTGCATGCTTGACCCGCTTCACATCCCCTCGTTCGACCTCAGCCGCTTGGCCATCCCAATCGTCTGTCCACGCCCTTCACATGGCCTCACCCTCCAGCAGCACATCGCTGCTGTGCTTCGGAGAAGCTTCCCTTCCCTCCACCAGCCTTCATCTTCCTACTCCGCTGTAGCCCTTCCCCCTCATGCATGGCTCCTGCAGGGCGTCTCTCGGGTTCTTCTGTGAGCCCAGCCCTGGCAGCTCAGGATCAGACACTTCTTTCATTCCAAAATTTCCAATTTCTTTTTTTCCAGACGGGCCTCACTATATAGCCTTGACCAGTCTGGAACTCACTACCTAGACCAGGCTGCTCCGGACTCAGACATCTGTCTGCCTCTGCCTTCCTAGTGCTGAGATTAAAAGTATGCACCACTAACACTGGCCAGTTTTTTTCTTTCCTTTCTTTTCTTTTCTTTTTTTTTTTTAAATTAAAGCAGGCTCTCCCCATGTAGTCTACACTGGACTGGTACATATGACCCTGGCCTTAAACTCAAGGCAATTCTGCATCAACCATCTAAGGGCTGCCGATTCCATAATCTTTCATCTGGACTTTAGCACATTATCTAGGACAATCCCTTTCTAGTAGTGCCCGAGCTACCGCAGCAGGACTGTGTACACATCCTTCTCCTCACTTACCTTCAGGTCTTCTGCTGCATAGCCTCTCCCAGGAAGCCATCAGGGTCCACACCAACTTGTCAGAGGTCTGTGGCTCTGCCCTGTGGTTTTTCCAGTCCGTCTGAGTGTCCGGTGCCCTCGTCCCTCAGGTAGAGAGAGGCCTCACCACGATGTGGCATGAGGCTCGGAAGCATGAGCGGAAACTCCGAGGCATGATGGTGGATTACAAGAAGAGGGCGGAGCGGCGCCGGGAGTACTATGAGAAGATCGTGAGTGACCATATTCCAGCATGGGTGGGAGGGCCCAGAGGGAAGGGTCCTGTCAAGGCGACAGCCCTGTTTCCACAGCATCCTTCTCGTTCTTTCCACTGTGACTGCTTCCTGGGACGCTGGAGGAGGAGCTATGGGCTTTACCCACTCTAGACAAGCCCTCTACTATCCTAGCTACCCTGTATCCCGTCTCTTCTTGAGACACGTGTTCTGTAATTCTCTGGCCCAGTCTTCCTGCCCTGTTTCTCCTGGTTTACAGGTGTGTGGCCACACTCACCAGACAGTCATTTCTTCAGCCAAGTCGTTGGGGTTTTTGTCAGCTTCTTGTATCTGGTGCAGCCCTGTGTAAAACTGGCATTGAAGTTGGAGGACCCTGTAACTCCAGACATAAGACTTTACCCCTGGAAAACGAAACAAAACACCCCAACAAACTCCATGGTTTGGCCCAAAAGGCCCTTGTGGCCTCTGCTACCCTCTCAGTGACTGAGTATCTTCCTTGGCCTTTTCCATATCTGCCACCAAAGATGGGATGGGCATTGGTTTATTTATTTATTTATTTTTGGAAATTATGTTAGTTTAGTGAAGTCTCTTCTAGCGTTCATGACCTCTCCAGTTACAAGCAGTTGGCTAGATTTATAGTACCAGGTATAAAATTTCCAGCATTAAGGAGGACTTAAACCCAATTAGACCTCTGTTGATCACCCCTAAGATAAAAGTGCACCACTGGAGCTATCTTGGTCAGTGTGGTCCATGGGCATGCAGTCAGGTTGGGCATTGGTTTATGACGCCTTCCTTTGTCTAACTCTTGTTTGTTTTGAAGACCCCCAGCTTGAAATGACAGTTGCTTACCTGGCCCAGTCTTTTAGATTCCATTCCTATAGACATTGTACTAACGATAGTGTCGCTGCCTAGCCTTTCTGTTCCCCTTGTCTTCAGTCTTGTCCCTTGCAACCCATCCAACAGACTAGAGAGATCTTTCTGAAGTGAAAAACTGGCCCTCTTCCTCCCTTGCTCAGAATTCTTTGGCTCCTGAGTGTCTTTGGGAGAAGGCCAGGCTCTTGACCGTAACTTTCAATGGTCTACATAGTTCGTGTTTTGTTTTTTTTTTTGGGGGGGGGGGTTCCCCCTAGGAGGTTTTGAGGATGGAAGCCAGGGCAGGGCTTATGCCAAACAGATTTGAGCCACACCCCTAACCCCTCCCTGGGGGATTCTAGGCTGGGGTCTTCCACTGAGCCACTTGCCCCGTAGTTTGAATTTTACCTCTCCTCCAGATTCATGCCATTCCATGGTCTGCCTGGCTCCCCTGTTCACTTTTTTTTTTTTTTTTTTTCGAGACAGGGTTTCTCTGCAGCTTTGGAGCCTGCCCTGGAACTAGCTCTTGTAGACCAGGCTGGTCTCGAACTCACAGAGATCTGCCTGCCTCTCCCCTGTTCACGTTATCCAGGCCTTCTGGCTATCCCTCTGTTGCCTAATATTTCCTTGTGCATGCAAATTGATGCACCATGTGGAATCAATTTGGCTCTAGGCAGAGGAATGGAATATGAATGAGTGGCAAACATGACAGAAGTTTGTCTCTTATCTCTGGAAAGTTTTGTTGTGAGGTCTGAGAGAGCTGTGGAGGCTCCAGCTCTTGTGTCTTCATTCCACCCAGCAGCAAGGAGGAAATGAGAGAAAGGGGACAGAGGCTCTCGTGCCTGTTGTTGAGAGGGTTTCTGGGTGTTTTCCTGTGACCCTTGGCCCCTGTCCTGTTGACCTTTCTTCCTCAAGGAAGCAGACATGCATAGATTCCATGCTGGGTGGGTTCCACACCAGATTATGAGGTGACCACTGAAGTAGGAGCATGGAGGAATGTGGCCTGTCGGTGGAGAGCAACCGCTTGAGATTGTCTCGCAGGCTGGTTGGAGGATCGGATATCTAGATCAGTGTGCCTTGCCTGTTGGGTGTTTTGTGGCACGGCAACATACCAAAGAGAATTCCTTGAAAGTCAAGCCTGGTGACCCTTTGAGTGTATTTGGAGTTATGTACAGATCATGGAGGACTCAGGCATCTGCATCACCACAAAGCCCACCCCAGCATGGGTGACAGCTCATAAAAGCCACATCTCTGGAGCTCCCTGCCGTGTTTACAGGTGGTTCTACCAGTGTTCCCTGTCTTTGGCCTTAGTCAGCACTTGTGTTGCTGTGGCAACAGCTTTAAGAAGAATGTTGTCAAATTAGTAGTAAGTGTCAGAGCCTTTTAAGTGGCCTTAGCTTCCTGAGCCAGGAGGGAATGTCTGAGCGGGCAGGAGACAGCCACACAGCTTGTGTGTCACAGTTTGTGTAACTTGTGCTTGGGAAGGGTTAACTTATGGGCTGGGATGTGGCTCAGTGGTGAGTGCTTGCCTAGCCAGCACCCTCTCCCCCACATAAAGAAAAGGAAAAATAGCAGACTCACAGTCCCTGATATTGCTGGGTACAGTGGAATTGGGATTCAGAGCGGTGGATGGATGCCACAGAGAGAGCCTGAAGAGTGGTGTTCAGGCTCCCCTTCCCGACAGTGCCTAGGAACAGCCCCTCACTGGGTGACAACAAGTGTCTGTGGGGCTCTTTGTCATGGGGACCATACAAGCAGCCAGTGTCCTGCCCGGGAATGTGATCTGCATTAGGATGTGTGGAGCCTAGCTGTGAGAGACACCAGCCCACTGCCGGTGGCTGGGGTGGCCTGGGGGAGTTGTGGAAGCAGGGGTGAGCAAGCCACAGTGGACTGTGGCTGCTTGAGTTGGGTTTGTCTATGAGTTGCTGGTTTTACATCCCTGATCGCTGATCATTCTTGGTGACTGCTTTTCTTTGAGTTTTGTGACTTTTCTGTCACTGTTCCTATTCTTTTTTTTTTTTTTTTTGGTTTTTCGAGACAGGGTTTCTCTGTGGTTTTGGAGCCTGTCCTGGAACTAGCTCTTGTAGACCAGGCTAGTCTCGAACTCACAGAGATCCGCCTGCCTCTGCCTCCCGAGTGCTGGGATTAAAGGCGTGAGCCACCACCGCCCGGCTCACTGTTCCTATTCTTGACATCTTTCTTTTTTTTCTTGTTTTTTTTGTTTTGTTTGTGGGGGATTTTTTTTGTTTTTTTTTTAAGATTTTATTTATTTATTATGTATACAACATTCTGCCTCCGTGTATGCCTGCAGGCCAGAAGAGGGCGCCAAATCTCATTACAGATGGTTGTGAGCCACCATGTGGTTGCTGGGAATTGAACTCAGGTCCTCTGGAAGAACAGTCAATGCTCTTAACCACTGAGCCATCTCTCCAGCCCCTTGTTGTTGTTTTTTTGTTTGTTTTTGTTTTTTTGTTTTTAGGTTGGATCTTGCTAAGTTGCTGGCTTAGAATTCACTGTGTAGCTCAGTCTACCCCAACTCACATTCCTTCTGCCTCAGCCTCCCGGGTACTGGGATCACACTTGTGTGCCTCCATGCCTCTTCTCTAATCAGTCCAGTCATTTGGATAAAGAAACACAATCCACAGGACATGGTGTTGCACACTTTTAATCTTTGCATTTGGGAGACAGAGGCAGGCGAATCTCTGTGAGTTTGGGGCCAGCCAGAGCTGCATGAGCAAGACTGTCTGAGAGGGAAAAAGAGAAAGAAAAACAACCCCTGTTAATACACAGGTGAGATATAAGCAAGTCTCCCTCTGGAAGGCCCATGTCAGCCGTGCCCTGTATGTAAGGGTAGTCCTTGGTAAAGGCAGGGATGTCTCCTACACTGAACTGTGAGGCTTAGTGGGTGGAACTTGAACTGTTGGCCTTGGGCATCCATTGGTAAGTGCTGGAGTTCACGGAGGCAGTGCATGACAGAGCATGTGTGCATGGACTCCAGACCTATCCGAGCTCAGAGGCAATACAGCCTGGTTGTAAGAGTGGATTCCGTTGATTTGTTTGCCTCTGGTGCCAGGGATGGAGCCTAGAGATTATTTTATTTATTTATTTGGGTTTTTCAAGACAGGGTTTCTCTGTAGTTTTGGAGCCTGGCCTGGAACTAGCTCTTGTAGACCAGGCTGGCCTCAAACTCACAGAGATCTGCCTGCTTCTGCCTCCCGAGTGCTGGGATTAAAAGCGTGCGCCACCACTGCTCGGGTGAGCCTAGAGATTATTTGTGCTAGGTATACATGCTATGTTCATGCACTACTCTCGGCCTGGAGTTTGCGTCTTAGGAAGGGACAGCCTGGTTCTTTGCAGTGTATCTCACAAAGCCAAGAGTTAGAAGAACGTCGTTGTCTATGGGATGCATGAATAAGGAAATGGTGGACTGGGTAATGTCTCGGGGGTTAAAACACTTGCTATGCAAGCATGAGAACCAGAGTTTGCTTCCCCAGAACCCACGAAATGCTGGGTAGGCATAGTGGCTCACTTGTAGTTCAGCCTCAGGAGGGCAGAGGCTGGATCCCAGAGAAGCTGGCTAGCTAGACTAGCCCTGTCAGCCAGCTTTGCATTTGATTGAGAGACCTTGCCTTGATGAATAAGGTATAAGGGAGATGGAGGGTGATTCCTGAGCCCAGGGCCTCCACGTGCACCCACCCAGGTGCACACACATGAAAATGGGAAAAGGAAAAAGTGTCACTGTGCATACACTGGAGGTGTGTATCCTCACATCCAGTGTGGAACACGGAGCCAGTACAGCAAAACAGTACCACACTCTGGGTATGGAGCTCTGTGAAGTCCTGGTTAGGGTAAGTTACATGTGAGAGACCCTGTCCCCAACCAAACAGGAAAACCCAAAAGGCTATTGTATGATGCAGCTTGATCCTGCATGCCAGTTGATGTAGTCAAACACTTACCTAGAATGGCGTTGTTAGGGGTGGGGAGCCGGGAAGGGCATTCTTTAGTGGGTAGAGTTTGCTCTTTGCAAGAGGAGGCTGTGGTAGAGATGGACAGCCTGATTCACGCTGAGAACCTCTTCTCGTTGGTTGAGGCTTCTACACTGTGCTTACCCAGTTAAGGGCGGGGTGGGGCTTTGGTCAGTGAGAGAGCACTGAGTTTAATCTACTGCACAGCAGAAAAGTTCAAATGAAAATGGTTGAGCATAGATTCTTCGCTAGGTGCTCTTTACCACAGTAGCAATTACCCTAATATTAACACCTTAGAAAGGAGCTAGGTCCAGCTAGGGACAGACAGAGTTCTGCTTGATGCGGGTGTGATCTTGAGTGTGGTTTTCCCTCAGTTTCCTCCTGTGGGAAATGGGTGTTTCTGGGGTTGCAGAGGTTGAGTGGAAGATGTTTTCACAAACTGCTTAGCTCAGATCCTGGCTGTTAGGATAGCTTGACTTTTCCATAGTGCCACTCCCCAGGCATGCCTTGACCTGGGGGCGCTTACTTGGGCTCTGTGCCTGTCACTTCTGGGATACAGATCCCTCCAGGGGCTCTTGCAGACTTTAAGCTGCACCTGGTGTCCCTAGAGGCTTGGCCTCAGGCTTGCTGGAGGCTGTGTGGCCTGAGGATTGAAGGAGGCAGGCAGGTGTGGTGCAAAGGGCTTGATTCCACAGCCACCTGCTGCCCCCTGTGATCTTGGGTAGGCCCTCTCTCTTGTCAGCTTCACTGTGAACTGAGGGTCTTGACAGCCCAGTGCTGGGCAGAGTCATGTGAGCAGGGGGCCAGCTGTGGCTGCTCTGGGCCCCTGCTCTGACCTACATCCACCCCTGCTGGGGATGATGGGGGAGCAGACAGAGCTGTGCTTGGAGCTGAGATGGCAAGCAGGTGAGGGTGTTTCTTTAGGGAGAATTCTTTTCTTCTCTTGCTTAATTTACAGGCCCTGGGGACATATCCAGCAGTGAGCAAAACAGAACCCTGCCCCTTGGGATGTTCATGTTTTTGTGGGAGGCTGGTGGCGTTGGAGCTAGCTGGGCTAGAATAGCAGGTGCTGGTAGGCGCCCTGAGGAAACAAGTGGACCCAGTAAGGCATTTATGTGGAGCGGATTAGGGATGCTCTAGAGGAGCCATGAAGTAAGTGAGAGAGCGCCCTGCTGAGGGGGAACAATAGCACAGAGCCTGGAACTTTCTGGAAGTAAAAGCAGGGAGACCCATAACCTGGACCAGGATAGCCAGGGGGAAAGTCAGGAAGACACCCAGAGCACGCAGAGGCTCTGGGGAGAGGAGGTCATGGCTTGGAGGGACAAGGAAAATATTGCAGAGGGCAGGGTAGCCAAACGCCCCAGGAAGAGGCGACCGTGGAGAGCAGGACCCAGCCAGAGCATGACTAGGGCAGAACTGTGGGAGCCAGCTCCGGATTTACGGTGCAGCATTGAGCCCCCATCCTCTCCCCCAGGAACTGCCAGGCCAGAGCTCTCTACCTTTCCTGCCACCAGGTTTATGCTTCCCATGGTGCTTTTGTGATTTGGATTTGTAAGTCCTCCCCTAGGCTAGGACCCAGGGTTGAGTCTCCAACTTAGGTATCCTTTTGGGGGACTGGTTTTTATTTTATTTTATTTATTTATTTATTTATTTATTTATTATTTTTCGAGACAGTTTCTTTGTGTTGCCTGGGCTGCCCTAGAACTTGTTCTGTAGACCAGGGTGGCCTCAAATTACAGCTCTACCTCCCTTTGCCTCCTGACTGCTGGGGTTAAACACCTGGGCCACCGTCCCCAGCTCTTTGTTTAGCTTTTTCTCTTCTGTAGTTTCCTTTTGGTGCTAAGGGTAGAGCTAGGGCTTCCTGCACTGTCCCATGGCTACAGCCTCAGCCCAGGGTCACTTGTGTGCAGTTCAGTTTCCTTGTGCCTTGCCTGTGCTGACTGTCAGTTCCATCACCCTAGGGCATATGGAGCAGGACTTTGTCTGCCTGGTATCTCCCTGGAGCCTGCAGACATGCCTGCCGCATGTGATTTCGTCGCCCTCAAGGCTGCTGCAGGCCAGTGCTCACATTGTGCTCCAGATGAATGGCCCCGGATAGGCACAAAGAGTTAGGGGTAATACTTTAGACAGTATGTCTGTAGCCCGGGTAGGCTTTTAATTTACAGTCTTCTGCCTCAGTTTCCCAAGTAGCCAAGAGAGATAGGCTGGCTGTCAGGATGGCTCAGCTAGAGCAGAGTTCAGCACTGCTGGCCACATCTGGGAGGGCACAGTTCCCTGTCCCAAATGGTGGTTCGGATGCTGGCTGTGCACATTGGCTCACCTGTAAGGTGTGGCCAGGGACTTGACCCAGAGGCCAGCTGACCACTAGGCCTACTTGTGGAGGTGTGGTGGGCCTTGGCTCCTTGGTGACGTCTGACCTGTCCCTCCCTGCAGAAGAAAGATCCCGCCCAGTTCCTGCAGGTGCATGGCCGCGCCTGCAAGGTTCACCTGGATTCTGCCGTTGCCCTGGCTGCTGAGAGCCCTGTGAACATGTAAGACTGTTGAGGGGTGGTGTAGTGTCAGAAGGGACTTGGGGGTGGTACTCTTGAGTCTGCAGTAGAGTTCGGGTAAGGACTGGCTTTTGTGTGATTGGGCTGGGAAGATTGTGTGTGTGAAGTTGACTGTTAGAGGTTATGTAGACAATCACGGTGTGGGGAAAACTTAGCGCTGACTGAAGCTCACAGGGGCAGGGGGCGGAGGGGATGTTTCAGGGTGACTGTGGTTCTTTTAGTGGCCTCCTTGACCTGGTTTAAGTTCCTTGTTGTTGCCTGGCCCTGAGAAGTGGGCCAATAGATGGATGGCTTTGTTCTTGGTAGATGTAGTTTGGGGGTGCAGCATCGAGACCTGAGCTGGAGGTGAGAGTGAAGTGACACTGGGGGTCAGAGGGACTTGAGATGGTAGGGACTGGGTGCTTGGATTCTGAGTCCTGCCTCTCTGCCTCACCCCTCCCACCTCAGGATGCCTTGGCAAGGGGATACCAACAACATGATTGACCGCTTTGATGTTCGCGCACATCTAGACCACATCCCCGACTACACCCCCCCACTGCTCACCACCATGTAAGTGACCCCATAGCAGCTCTCTGCCTCAGTGTACCTGTCACCTTTCTTGGGCAAGAAGAGCCTTGTCCATTCCTCCCTTAGTCAGAAGCCTCCCCACTTTTCTTTGGTTTACCTTTTCTTTACCCTCTCCCACCAAAAGCTCCCCGGAGCAGGAGTCGGATGAACGGAAATGTAACTACGAGCGGTACCGAGGCCTGGTGCAGAACGACTTCGCCGGCAGTGAGTGGCGGGGCGGGGCATGGGGCATGGGGGCCTGAGGCTCGACGACCTAGACAAGGCTCACCCAGGTACTTGCTGCTGGTTGCCCTTGGTTCTGTCCCAGTCTGTGTACCTCCTCTCCCTTCTGGGCCTTTGTCCATGAAACTAGCACAGGGCTCTCTGTGGAGTTAGAGACTTGGAGGTTTCTGCCCAGGCCACCTCCCATCCCTTCCCTCCGAGTCTGTGTAGGATCCTTTAACTAAAAAAGAAGAAGGGTGCACATGCACTGCACCCACTGCATGGGCAAGGGTCGCAGGAAGAAACACTGCTTTGTTGTGAGCAGGACCTCGGACAGTTCGACTGGCCTTCACTGGGGCTCCAGAAGGCGAGGACTCCCCCACCCCCCACCCCGGCTTCCCCTGGAAGGCACATCCTCATGGGAAGGCTTTTCTGTTAGCTCATCTGGCACACCTGCATGTGACTGGGGGTGTGGCTTGTGTAAGGCTAGGGAACTGGCTCAGTAGTTAGTCAGTAGTTAGGAGTACCTGCCATGAAAGCCTAACAACCTGGATTTGATCAGGAGACCCCACTCCTGAATTGTCCCCTGACCTCCACATGCAAGCCTTGTTACATGTGCACATGGCATGCATGGACACATGGGTGTCTGTTTGAGAATCTGTTTCTGTCCGTAGCATTGCAAACATAAAACAAACCCAGAAGGGCAGAGGACTCCTTAGTTTCCTTTTCCCCGTCAGTGCTTTGTGCTAGGGATGATGCAGGGTCAGACACACAGGCGCTGGGGCTGCTCTCCTGTCTTGCTGCACCGTTGCATCTCGGGTTATGTTTCTCACTGTCTACATGTTTGAGACACTCTTACTCTGTAGCCCAAGCTGCCCTGAGACTGGTGATCCCCTCCCCGCAGAGCTGCAATTATAGGCAAGGATCCCTGTGCCCAGCTTGACACCCATTTTACAGACAGGACTCAGAGGTGTCTATGGAAGTAGAGTCTTCACTATGGATACAATTGTCCAGGGTCACCTACACACAAACCCCTTTACTGGCAGGTCTCGGGTGTCTGCTCCAGGGGTCAGCTTGAGAGTTCAGAGATTACATATGCAAATCTTGCTTCACGCTGGCACAGGAGGCCTGCACATGGGCTTGATAGTCCCAGATTTCCGTGTTTTAAGATGCGTTTATGTATTTCTTTTTCTTTTTTTTTTAAAAATATTTATTTATTTATTGTGTATACAATATTCTGTCTGTGTATGCCTGCTGGCCAGGCCATTACAGATGGTTGTGAGCCACATGTGGTTGCTGGGAATTGAACTCAGGACCTTTGGAAGAGCAGGCAATGCTCTTAACCTCTGAGCCATCTCTCCAGCCCCGTTTATGTATTTCTTAATATCATTAATTAATTAATTTATTTTTTGGTTTTTTGAAGCAGGGTTTCTCTGTAGCTTTGGAGCCTGTCCTGGAACTTGCTCTGTAGACCAGGCTGGCTTTGAACTCACAGAGATCCGCCTGCCTCTGCCTCCTGAGTGCTGGGATTAAAGGCGTGTGCCACCCCTGCCCAGCAGTGCTGTCATTTTTGCCCAAGCCTTGATTCCTTAGAGCTAGAGCCCGGGCTTCCCTTACTTCTTCATTCACTCCTACAAGCAGTGTGTCCTCTGCTGTCCAGTGGTGGACAGAGAGCCACGGCATAACCACACGAACAGTTTAAGAACAAGCCTAGGTAGTGTAAGAGACCGCTTGCTAAGCATTCCTGAAGGGAAGGAAGGCAGAGCTGGGTATACATGCTTTCTACTGAGCCAGGGAGAGGTGTGGATTCCAGTCCCTGGGATAGAGTGCATAGAGGTTCTGAGGTGGGTGTCTGCCACGGCCAAGAAGAGGCCGTGCTGTGTTACCTAGCCCAGACACCAGGTGCCACTGGTAGAAAGCTGAAGTGCTCAGGTTGGTATAGTGACCCAGCACCAGAGGTGCTCCAGAGGCTGAGGCAGGGGAATCTCAAGTTCAGGGCTTGCCTGGGCCAGCCTGAATAACATTGTGAGACCCTGTCTCAGAAAGATGGGGATACAGTTTCATGGTAGAGCATTTGCTTGTCATGCAGTCTTCAGTGTCCCTTCACCCTCCCCCTTCAAAAGAAAGGAAAGCTAGGCAGAAGCCTGCAGAGGATAGGGAGAGCTGAAGGGAAGCCATGCTGCCTAAGTACCCTGGGAAGCTCCTGAAGTGGGTGCTGGGGGTGTAGGAGAGCATGATCTTCAGACACCCCACCAGTACAAACCAAGCCACAGGACCACATGGGGTGGTGGCCAGTGGGGTCCACATGATACCCAACACTTACGGGCATGCATATGGTTCTGGAGGCCAGAGAGGCCCCATGACAGCGGTAGGGCCCCTAAGTCGCAAGTACTCACTCTGTCAGTGATCCTACGTTACACATTACCAGGATCACAGGGAGAGCGGATCATCTAGCTGATGTTGTATACCAGAGTGATTTGAAGTAGGGGACCCTGCCTTGGCTGCCCACGCCCATCTCTGTACTCCACTCCACACGCACATATGCCAGGCTGCTCTGACCTCTGACCTCTCCTTGCCAGTCTCTGAGGAACAGTGCTTGTATCAGATCTACATTGATGAACTGTATGGAGGCCTCCAGAGACCCAGCGAGGATGAGAAGAAGAAGTGAGTCAAGGGCTGGTCTGATGGGTGGGGCCAGCCCTTCCACCTCACCACCTCAGTCTATGGTCTATACGTGGAGAGGAAGAGTCAGCAGCAGAGGACAGGCTCTGACTGAGCTTGTTGCTCCCACTTTGCAGAGTAGGAGTCATGAGCCCTGTGGGGAAACTGCCTGAGTGTGAGTCTTGTGGAGAGGGCCGAGGGAAGGCAGCCTCTTGAAGTCAGCCTTAAGTCAGGAGCTGTGAAGAACATGGGTGATGGGGGTGTCATGCACTTGTCCCAGTGCCTGCATGCAGTAAGCTTGCCACCTAGAGATGCTGATGTCACTTTGCAGAGGTTGGGGTCCTAAGCCCAGGGTTGCCAGCCATCTCAAAAGCCAACCTGGCTGGGCACTGTAGTTGGAGCCCTGATCATATCTGGGAGCACCCACTGTAGGATCTGCTTCCTGACATGCTTGGGTACTTCCCAGACACTCAAGCCTTGGCTTCAGGATAAGGGTGCTGGGATGAAGCAGGGTGGTTGACAGCAGAAATCAATAGTGGCCTCTCAGTGTGTCCCCTGAAAGCAAAACTGGGGCACACTTTGTAAAGACGGCTCTGGCTCTGCACTCAATGAGACTTAAGGCCTGTGCAGCCAGTCTTGTCTCCTGACAGGAGTAAGCCAACATGGGCAAGGCGGGGCAGCCCAGGACAGTGCCTGGGCCAGGAGGCCAGGAGAGGAATGGGAAGGACCAGGCCATAGGCGGGAACTAGAGTGGAGCATCTTAGGTGGACACATGTTGCCAAGGACTCAGGATCTATCATGGGGCTTGCCTATGGCCGTACTCCTGCTGGGTAGCCCCTGGCTCATGACTCATTTCACAGGCTGGCAGAGAAGAAGGCTTCCATTGGCTATACCTATGAAGATAGTACTGTGGCCGAGGTAGAGAAGGTGGCCGAGAAAACAGAGGAGGAGGAGTCACCAGCTGAGGAGGAGAGCAATTCGGATGAAGATGAGGTCATCCCCGACATCGGTGGGGTCCCCTCTCTGCCCTCCCCACCTGCAGCCCCTAGGCATCGATTTTGTGTCTTGTCCCTCACCCTCTGTAGGGTACCCATGCTTACAAGGCCTTCCTCTGCCCCAGCTATAGGACCTCAGCCTTCCCCTGCTTCCCTGGCCCACTCCCAGCCTTCTCTGTCCCTGTCCCCTCTCCCAATCATTTCTGGGCCCTGTTTCTATAAGATTTTCCCACCTTGGGCTGGCTTTTCCTCTTGTACCTGGGTCAGCCTTTCTCTTCTCTGGGAAATGAATCTTCCCCTTTCCTAGAGCTGCCCCCATCCAGCATCTGTCACTCATCCCCATGCTCACCGCCTTTCCTCCTATGGAAGTCCCCAGTGAGAAGACTGCGGCTGCCGCCTTTCCAGCTTGCTCTTCCTGTACACGTGGGCTTAGCCTCAGGCAGAGCTGATGTCTCCTGCCCTCCCTCCGTGCGCTGCTCTGATGCCCGCCCCACGCTTGTCTCTGTCCACCTCCCATCCTCTTCTCTTTCCTGCACTCCATCTGCAGACTCATCCACCCTCCCCTATCTGTCCCCCCTGTGCAGTATGCTGTCCTGACCAAGCCCCAGCTTGGGCCTCAGCAGAGCCAGCACAGCTACATCCTCCCTGAAGGTGTTCTACCTGGTAGACCTGTCCCCACTTGGGGCACTACCCCCTTCTATCTTCTCCTGGGACTAGGGTCCCTGACAGCCTTTCTCTTGGTGCAGACGTGGAGGTGGATGTGGATGAGCTAAACCAGGAGCAGGTGGCTGATCTCAATAAGCAGGCCACAACCTATGGCATGGCTGATGGAGACTTTGTCAGGTGAGACCACGCTGGCTGACATGCTGGACTCTGTCCCTGCCCTGACCTCCGAGGCATCTCTCTGATACCACAGCTATCCTTCTCAGCCTGTGAGCAGTGCACTGGTGGGACTTGCTGCAGAAACAGATCCTGTCACACAATGTGACCTAAAAACTACTAGGTTCCTTGGGGACAGCACCCTCTTGTGGTGCAGCTTTATGCATTATTCTTCACATGATCACATGGCAGGAGCCTCTGCCTCTGCCTGTACCAGGTCATACCTTGCCAAGCGCTTTCTGTGGAACCTAGGGATCAATCCCAGGTCGCTACCCAAGTCTGAACCCACAGCTCTCTAGCACAGTGATTCTTTATTGTTTGTTTGTTTGTTTTTGTTTTTGAGACAGAGTTTCTCTGTGAAACATCCCTTGCTGTCCTGGAACTCACTCTGTAGGCCAGGCTGACCTTGAACTATAGAGATCCACCTGCCTTTGCCTTCCAGGTGCTGAGATCAAGTGCGCCACCACCACCCAGCTAGCATAGTGATTCTTATTGCAGTTCCTTGGTGTTATGGTGATCCCAACCATAAAATTGTTTTTGGTGCTACTTCATAACTGTACTTTTGCTACTGTTATGAATTGTAATGAGAATATGTTTTTCGCAGTGGAGGTTTGTCAAAGGGTTTGACCCATAGGCTGAGAGCTCTTACTCTAGCAGTTTGACCGCTGTCAGGAGCACACGGCCATTGGGTCCCTCTCCCTTCCCTGACCGCAAGCCCCCGTGTGGCCTCCTCACTGGAGTTGTTCAATGCCTAGTCTGTCTTCTGAGCCCTGTTGCCATTCACCTTGCCTCACCCCTGAGCACCCTACTCCATGATTTCTCAGGCTTTCTGTGTGGCTCTTACCTCTGTGCTGAGGTTTCCTGTGTAGTTGGCACTATCTGAGGGACCCTATACTCAGTCTCCTCGTGCTTGACGTTTCCCAAACTAGAGCCTGAGCACTCTTTGAAGTCTCCAGTAGCTGGGATTACAGGCTTGCACTACCAGGCCTAACCAGGCCTGGCTGGGTTGGTTGCTTTCATTTGTTTTGTTTAGTAAAAGTAGCAAGGATATTTTTATTTGCAGAATGTAAAAAAGGGATGAAGGTATTTCATCCTGCACCCCCTCCCTGTTCATTTGGTTTTTATTTTTCTTGTTTGTTTTTAAGGTTGTTTTTTTTTAAAATATTTATTCATTATGTATACAGTATTCTGTCTGCATGTATGTCTGCAGGCCAGAAGAGGGTGCCAGATCCCATTACAGATGGTTGTGAGCTACCATGTGGGAATTGAACTCAGGACCTCTGGAAGAGCAGTCAGTGCTCTTAATCTCTGAATCATCTCTCTAGCCCCGTTTGTTTGACTTTGAAAAGGGTTCTCAAAGTATCACCAGGCTATCCTCAATCCTCTGGCAATACTGGGATTTCAGGTGTGAGCCACCATGCCTGGCTAGTGCTGAATGTGTTCTTTTTCTTTTTACTTATTTATTTGGAGATAGGGCCTCAAACTTGCTATATAGCTAAAGATGGCCTTAAACTTCTGATCTTCCTGCCTCCACATTGCCAGTGTGAGGATTTAATGCTGCATTGTTCTTCAAAAAATTTTATGGGCTGGAGAGATGGCTCAGCAGTTAAGAGCGCTGACTGCTCTTCCAGAGGACCGGGGTTCAATTCCCAGCACCCACATGGCAGTTTACAACTGTCTGAAAATGCAGTTCCATGAGATCTGACACCTTCACAACAATGCACATAAAATAAAGTTAAATAAATCATTTAAAAAAATTTTTTTAATTTTTTTTTTTTACCTTTCTTTGGTTTTGCGAGAATGATTTTCTCTGTCTATTCCTGGCTGTCCTCTGTTGCTCTGTAGACCAGGCTGGCTTCTAACTCACAGAGATCCACCTGCCTCTGTCTCCGAGTGCTGGGATTAAAGACGTGTGCCTTCACTGCCTGGTGGGTTCTGTTGTGTTTTGTTTTGGATTTTATTTCATTTTATCTGCATGCAGTTAGTTCCGTGCATCATGTGCATCTGGTATTTGCAGAGGACAGAAGAGGGCGTTAGGTCCCCTGGAGCTGGAGTTAACATGCAGCTGTGAGCTGTCAGATAAATGTGGGTGCTGGGAACTGAACTCAGGTCCTCTGGAAGAACAGTAGGTGTTCTTAACCTGTGAGCCGTCTCTGCAGCCCCAGGCGCTGAGCTCTCACTCCTAAAGCAGCACCTGTCTTTCAGAAGGTTCTTCAGGAGAGCGCTTGTGGTTATGTTGTGGTTGGGATCCCAGCACCCACATGGTACCTCACAGCCAGTTCCTCCAGGGGCACCAGGCACACGGGTGATACACAGACACACTTGCAGGCCAAATACCCATACACATAAAACAAATGTAAAAACAGATTTTTTTTAGGTGCTCAGTAAAATCTATTGAATATATCAAAGAAATTTGGTGTAGTGGCACACACCTATGATCCTCAGATCCTCTGAGGCAAGAGGGTCTTAAGTTCAGAATCAGCCTGGGCTACAGAACAAATTCCATGAAAGGGAAGGTCAGGAAAAGAAAAGAAAGGGCAGGGATGTGTGTGTGTACATCAACTTAGTTAAGAGGATTACTTTAGTGAGTTCAAGACTAGTCAGGCCTGTAACTGCCCTTCCTCAGGGAGAAAGAAGGAAAGAGTTGTATCCTAGAATCTCGAAGTACCATTAGGTCCCTGCTGTCTTTGCTAGGGCTCTGCTCACCCTGTGACCTTTGCCCTTCATGCTGATTTCCTCTCCCTCTGCAGGATGCTACGGAAAGACAAGGAGGAGGCAGAGGCCATCAAACATGCCAAGGCCCTGGAGGAGGAAAAAGCCATGTACTCGGTGAGTTCTGGGTAGGGTGAAGGGGGCAAAGGTGTGTCTCTAGTGAAAGCACACTCCTCACCATCCTGGCACTTCCTCTCCAGGGCCGTCGTTCCCGGCGACAGCGAAGAGAGTTCAGAGAGAAGCGGCTGAGGGGCCGCAAGATCAGCCCTCCCAGGTAGGACTTTTTTCCTGGGCAGCTTTGCTCACAGCCAGGAGTGCAGCTGTGGCTTCAGGAAGGAGTGCTCTAATGACAAACCTGGAATGACAGTTCCTAGTGAGGAGTAGCATTGTGTGTTTTCCTCTGCCACCTGCCCTCTAACCCTGCTGGCCTGGGGACTCTTGGGGAATGGACAGGAAGCTACTGGCGATGGCTAGAGGAACTGTGGCCAGAGCTCAGGGCTCCAGTCATGTGGATTTGTGTTGCTCTGTGACCTCTGGAGAATCTAGATAAATGTCTCCTCTCTTCTAGCTGGGCTCTTCCTCTGCAAAGTGGGGAACCCTTACCTCCGAGGAGAGAGCCTGAGCCACTTCCCACATGGAAGTCTTGAGGCACTCTATCCACATGAGGGGAGGCTTGGCCTGGTGACCCTAGGCAAGTCTCTGATAAAGGAAAAGGACTGAATGTGCCTCTAAGGTTTAAACTGCTCAGGGCTAGGCAGCCCTGGATTCTCATTATTACTGCTTTTAATAATAATAACTCAGTGGCCCTGTCAGTATATTGACTCAAAATTCTAGATGCAGGCCACATACCTGGGCTGGGATCTTGGCTCCTTCACTTTTGAACAGTGTGACCCTAGGCAAGCCACTTGCCCTCTCTGGGCCTGTTCCTGTCCTATGAAGAGTCGCTGAGTTAAGTTAGGCACTCTGTTGTTTTCACACCAGCATCGATCAGGGACTGGTTATGGGGAAGTTCTTCCAGTGTGGGGTTGGAAAGCCGGCAGCACCAGGGCTGCTCATGCTGTGATAAGGAGACAGGTGTGGGTTCCCCATAGTCAGGGTGCATAGGCATAGTCTTCAGCACTGGGGATCTGGGTGGGAGAGGCCCAGGATTCACGCCTGCCCACTCTCAGCTCTCCATTGTTTTTCCTGTTGTCTACATAGTTATGCCCGCCGAGACAGCCCCACCTATGACCCCTATAAACGGTAAGTGTCAGCACCCAGGACAAAGCCATCATCTTGTGGTCTGTGGGTGGTTGTTGAATCCATATCAGTTTTGTTTTTCCAATTTATTTTCCTCAACACCGTCAACAGAAGAGGCTATGGTACACACCATCAAATACGGCATAGGGGATCTGGAGATTGGGTGTCTTTAACACACACTCTCAGAAATAGTATGCAGTGCCAGGCCTGACAGCCTCACCCAGCAAGCATGGTGCGGGTCCCAGGGTGTCCAACTTAACTTCTGCCTGCTGCTCTCTTAAGGCCAAGGGTGGGGCCTGGTGGGGCTTTTGTGTTGGCTGCTTTGCTCGAAAGGGTGTTCCACTAGGCCTCAGGATCTCAGGATGAAATTAAACTACATGGAACAGCTGAGAATTTACTCTCCAGGTTAAACAGGAAGACCGCAATATTTTCATTGAGTCTATTGAAACCCGGAGGGAGCCTCATGCATAGGCAACTATACCCAGCCCTTCATTTTTACTGACTACATAAAGCCAGGCATTTTCTTTTTTTTTTTTTTATATTTGTTTACTGAGACAGGGTTTCTCTGTGTAGCCCTGGTTATCCTAGAACTCTATGTAGAGCAGACAAGGCTAGCCTTGAAATAGCCAGAGAACTTCTGGCCTTAGCCTTCCCAGTGCCAGAATTAAAGGCATGCACCACTACCACCCCCAGGCCCATCTTCTGTTTTGAAAAATTACATTTGTGTGGGTGGGTGGGTGCAGTGCATATGCTACAGGGCTGGGGGTAAAATGGCAGCTTAGAGGAATACGGTCTCAACTGTGTGTGGGTTCAGGGGTTGACCTGAAGCTGTCACGCGTGGGAGCACAGCGAGGCTTTTCCTGCTGAGCCTTCTCACCAGCTGCAAGCTTACTTGGTTTCTCTGTGTAACAGTTCTGGCTGTCCTAGAACTTGCTCTGCAGACCCGGCTGGCCTTGACTCAGTAGTAGGATTAAAGGCATGTCCCATGACCAATTAATTTATTTTTGAGACAAGGTCTCTCTTTGCTCTGGCTGGACTTGACCTCCCTATGGATGTTTACCTGGCTGGCCTCTAGCTCACACAACCCACTAGGGCCCTGGTGCAGCTGGGGTGGGTTCTGAGTGCTGGCCTCCCTTTTACCCACCCTCTGCTCCAGGTCACCTTCGGAATCCAGCTCTGAGTCCCGCTCCCGCTCTCGCTCCCCGAGCCCAGGCCGCGAGGAAAAGATCACTTTCATCACCAGTTTTGGGGGCAGCGATGAGGAGGCAGCTGCTGCGGCCGCCGCGGCTGCCGCATCGGGGGCCACCCCCGGGAAGCCCCTTGCACCCCCCCAGCCCGGCGGCCCCACTCCAGGCCGCAATGCCAGTGCCCGGTCGGTAACGCTTGTGGGCACCCAAGCCGGTTCCCGGGGGGTGGGGGGGTGGGGAGTTCCTCTAAGGGCAGTGGTGCTGATGGCGCCGCGCTCCCACAGCCGCCGCTCCTCCTCGTCCTCCGCCTCCAGGACGTCCAGCTCTCGCTCCAGTTCGCGCTCCAGCTCGCGCTCACGCCGTGGCTACTACCGGTCTGGCCGCCATGCGCGCTCCCGCTCGCGTTCCTGGTCCCGCTCTCGCTCCCGCTCCCGGCGCTATTCGCGCTCCCGTAGTCGCGGACGGCGGCACTCCGAAGGCGGTTCCCGAGACGGACGCCGCTACTCGCGCTCGCCAGCCCGGCGTGGCGGGTATGCGCCTCGCCGCAGAAGCAGGTCTGCACTCGCATTTGGGCAGGTGCTGGCATTGGGGAGGCAGGCTGGGGACAGATTGCTCTTTTTCAGCAAGCACCTATTTGGAAGCAGGACGGGGTAGGTGCCCAAAATTTGGGGTGGGGCCTGATAATTCTTCAGGGACACTGGGCATGGAGGTGTCTCTTTGACTTCTGCCTGGACTATCCAGTCTGCAGGACCTGGGAATCTGATAGGTGGGGCTATAACCTTTGCGGAAGGGTTGGGTTCCCAGGGGGCAGTGGAATATGGGCTGTGGCTGCTTTTAGGTTTGGTGGGGGAGAGCTCAGAAGCAGGGGCAGGCTTACTGACCCAGCTGGAGTTTGTTCTTTCGTAGAACAGGCACAGCCTAAGTGTTGAGGGTAGACCCTGGCCCTGCTTATGACATGTAATGTTACCGTGTTACTGCCAGTTTGCTGTGTGTGTGTGTCAGTCATAGCGCCATCCACCTGTGGGAGCTGTAACTGCCAGGCTCAGGCCTGGCTCCCTCATCCTCGTGCTGCTCAAGAGAGGCTGAGAGTACTTGTTTCTTGATGGCTGTGGTCACTCAGGACTGACAACAAGCACTAGTCAGCCCGGGTAGATTTGTTACATATTTAGAAGTTGACTTCTGAATCTTTTCTGTAGCCCAACCACAGGAGAAAGGCTGGGGAGGGAAACGGAGCCTATCACAAACTGGATGCCAGCCCGAGACTCTCACTAGTACCCCAAGTGGGGAATCTCTGGGACTGTGCAGCCTGTCCAGGGCTTGAGTGCTGGTGCTGGCTGATGTATGGGGTAGGGAGCGCCACAGGTGTGGAGCAAAGTGGGGCACCTGAGTGCCCTGAGCTGGGCCACCCCCGGAAGTTAGCACCTGGGTATCCCATGAAATAGAGAAGTGTGTCCAGCATACTCATGTTCTAGAATGTGCCCAGGGAGCCGCAGGAGCTTTCGGAGGGAAGTATGGGGGAGGGGAAAAGTGGACTGAACATACTCAACCCTATTGGAGACCCATGGCCTTGGAAATTGAGGTGACAGTCCTTGTCTGCTACACCACTAGGAGCCGCTCCCGTTCAGGTGACCGCTCTAAGCGGGGTGCCCGCGGTCCCAGGCACCACAGCAGCAGTCGTAGCCGCAGCAGCTGGTCCCTCAGCCCTTCCCGAAGCCGCAGCCTGACCCCTAGTGGAAGCCGAAGCCAGAGCCGCAGCAGAAGCCGCAGCCGCAGCCAAAGCCACAGTCACTCGCCATCGCCCCCAAGGGAGAAGCTGACCAGGCCAGCAGCGTCCCCTGCTGTGGGCGAGAAGCTGAAAAAGTGAGTAGGGGCCTGGCTGGAGCTGAGGGAGCCCCCACTGGGTTCATTTTGTGGGGAGGTGTGTGCACTGCCATATAGAGGCATTGCCATCATGGCCTCAGCTGGGGTAGACTTAGAGAGGGATGTGATCCTGCCTAGGTTCTGTGGGTTAGGAACACATTCTGAAGGTTCTGGAGCCCATGGCTAATGGCTGTCCTGAGGCCCATGGTAAGGGTAGCACTCCCATCTCCTCCCACCCAGGACCGAACCTGCCGCTGGTAAAGAGACAGGAGCTGCCAAAGTCAGTAAGAATTTGGAACTCGCCCGTCTAATTCCTGTCAGCAGCAGTGTCCAGAGCTGGGCCCGGTTGGCCTGCAGGGGGCCCAGGGGGAGGGGAGAACCAGCCCAGGGACTACTCTGGGGAGGGGCTACCCAGGCAAGCTAAGTCCCATCCCTGCTTCCCACGGGGCTCCAGCTGGCCCCCAAGTCCCAGGCTCTTGGCTGAGGTGGGCTGGACGAACTCTGGGCACCCACGCCTGTCCCGCCCCTTCTCCCGCAGCCCAAGCTGACCCCACAGGAGAGGCTGAAGCTGCGGATGCAGAAGGCTCTGAATCGCCAGTGTAAGTCCCCCCCCCCCCCCCCAGTCCAGCCAGAGCTGTGGGAAAAGTGGGATGACCTCTGAGCCTGCCAGAGCAGGTCAGGTGGTGGTGTGGGGACCCTGAGCACAGCCCTCAGCCCCACAACCTTCCTCCACAGTCAAGGCGGATAAGAAGGCTGCTCAGGAGAAGATGATACAGCAGGAGCATGAGCGCCAGGTCAGGCCAGGCTCAGAGGGGTGGGGCACTTGGGTGCAGTGGGGGGCTGAGCCACCCCTCACAGTTGTTTCTGCTGCAGGAGCGTGAGGATGAGCTGCGCGCCATGGCCCGAAAGATCAGAATGAAGTAAGGCCCTGGCCTGTGGTCAAGGCAGCCCTGCTGCAGGAGGCTCCCCTCCCCTCCCCTCCTTTCGTTGGTTTCCCCAGTCCATTGCTGTCCTCATGTTCAGGCGGCTCTTCCTGATGGCCTAGGCCCCTCACCTTCTGACCTCATGTCTGAACAGCATCCCCATACTCTCTGGCCTCCCCACGTCTGACAACCGTGTCCTTGGTGTTTAATAAGTGGTAAAGTGAAGCCCACTCCATGGTGGGTCTCTTAGGTTAGGGGCTTTTCCTTTCCCCTTTCTTCTCTTGCGTTAGATGTTGGGCTGTGGTCAGAGTCCTGGGCCTAGATCATAGGCTTGGGGTTTTGTCTTAAGTCTCTCTGATCAGGTGAAGCCTGAAGGGGCTCGGTGCCCACCACACTCACCACACTAGACAGCTAGGATTAGTACCCAAGTCCTCAGTTTGCCTGGGGCCCTTAGGAAAAGCCTGGGCTGTTGCACTTCGTAACAGGGTAAGGAGGGGAACCAGTCAGGGATGGGGTTCTGGACCTGCCGGTTCTTTCTGATTTGTGCTGTGGGAGCTGGGCTGCCTTTCTCTGTGGGGCAATGATGGGAATGGCCCCTGCCTCTATATAGTTAGGCATGTGACCTCCTGGGCTGTGGGGGAACCTGCTGCCGCTCCTGCTTTATCGTTTTCTAAAAACAGATATACACACATGTACATATATACATATATTTTTGGTTTTGGGGTTCTTTTGTTTTGTTTTTTTTAATTATTATTTATTTATTTATTATGAGTACAATATTCTGTCTGTGTATATGCCTGCAGGCCAGAAGAGGGCACCAGACCTCATTACAGATGGTTGTGAGCCACTATGTGGATGCTGGGAATTGAACTCAGGACCTTTGGAAGAGCAGGCAATGCTCTTAACCACTGAGCCATCTCTCCAGCCCTGTTTTTTTTTTTTTTTTTAAGATAGGTTTTCACACTGTAGCTTTTGGTGGCCTGGAATTCACTAAGTTGCCAGGGTATCTCTGAGTTCATGGCAATCCTCCTGCTTTATCTTCCCAAGTGCTGGGACTACAGGCATGAAACACCATGCCTGGCTTGCTGGGAGGAGAGGGAAGAAGGAAGTGAGCAAGCCAGCAGGGCACACGAGGTGGCGCATGCGTGGATGTCAGAGGACAAACTCCAGATATCAGGACTCTCTTTCCAGTGTAGGACCTGAGGATGGAATTCGGGTTGACAGCGCTCCCCTGAGCTGTCCTGTCGCATATCATTATGCACCGCATCTTCAGAGGCTGCTGTCAGGTGGAGGAAGAGGCCAGGCCTGGTGTTTCCCACCTGTGATATCAGCACAAGGGAGGATCCTAAATTCAAGGCCAATCTGAGCTACACAGACAAAAACCCTCTGAGTCCAGGGACTGGGACTGGGTTTATGTTGGCTGGCTATGTCGGCTTCTGGTGTTTCCCCTTACTGTCTGCCTCATTCCTGCCTGAGCCTCAGTGTATGCTGCTACTCACTGAATAGGAGCACGTTAGGCCTGGCTTTCCTGGTAGATACAGGGCAGTCCAGCCTGCGCAGGAACAGGTGCCTACAGCCCGCAGGTGCTCACTCCTCCCTGTTGGTTGCCTCCCCTCTCCCCCTGTAGGGAGCGAGAGCGACGAGAGAAGGAGAGAGAAGAGTGGGAACGCCAGTACAGCCGCCAGAGTCGCTCACCCTCTCCACGCTACAGTGAGTATTTCGCCTACCATTGCTACAGTTCCCACATTGCCAGGGTCAGGAGAGTCAGGCTGCTTCTCAGGACCATTAGAAAAACTGGGTGTGGTGGTTCTTACCTAAAATCCAGCACTTCAGGGCTAGAGACCAGGGTTACCTGGAGAAATCCTGCTTTAAATAATAAAGGAAGAAAACAGTTCTGATCTGGCAGTCTGGAGAGTGGGGCAAGAGAGTCCAGCCAAATTTACACACACCACATACACACAAAAACAAAAAAACAAAAAACAAAAAAAAAAAACAAAAAAAACACAGCACTGTGGATTCTCACACAGGAGGCTCACTTGTTTTGTTGTTTGGGAGCAGCCTATGTGGGGAATTCATCTTATTGTTTAAAAAAGTACTAAACAGTTTGACAGACACTGGGAAGACAGAAGGATCTGAGTTTCTGAGTTTGAGGCCAGTCTGGTCTACACAGCCAGTTTCAGGCTAGCCAAAGGCAACATAGTGAGACCCAGTCTCAAAACAGTAGGACCTTGCTTGAGGCACACAGACTGCAGGTGCCCCATCTGAGCTGAGAATGTGGGGAGGGGCTTCATCCTCGCAGAGGTGGGTGGCCTGCAAGGTGGAGGCAAGGGCTCCAAGATGGCCAGTGGAGGCTGCCTGGCATCACTGTCCTTTTCTTTCAGGTCGAGAGTACAGTTCTTCTCGAAGGTGAGGCTGCTGGTCCAGCTACCAGGGGTGACTCTCCAAGTCTCCTTTGCCTCTTCATTTGGTGTGGCTGGACTTGTTCCCTGGGGAAGACACTCCTCCTTCTCCCTCCTTCCCTCAGCAGCCCAGTCTCCAGGCCTGTTGGTGCATGTGTGCATGGGAGAGGTTCCCAGCATCCCACCCTTATAGTTTTCTCCCTTCTCCGCAGGCGCTCGAGGTCCAGGTCCCGAAGCCCCCATTACAGGCATTAGGCAGAAGACTGAGTGGGGGCTGCGATGCCCTGGGTTTCTGTAGTGAAATAAAAGCTAACATTATTTAATGCCCTTTACTGCTTGCTGTCCTGAGTAGGTGGGACTTGCAGGCAACACGCATCTGAGGACTGCTGCAGGTGCGGCCTAGCCTGCAGGGTGTGGTGAGGGGGGCCTGCCCAGGAGGCAGGGGCCAATCAGTCAAGGGCTCAGGCTGTGTGGCATGTGCGGACAGGGCCAGTGGATGACGGGCTAGGACTGGACTGCGCCCAGGGGCCTCTGGTGACAGGTCCAGGCCTCTCCTTGCCCTTGCCTGGCCCCTGGCCTCACCCACACCAAGAACCGGGAGCACGGCTTTCTGTGCCAGTCCTCCAGTGCCGAGGGCACTCACCCCCACTCCAAACCGGTCTGTCCAGCCAGCCGCACTATGGAGGGGGAGCCTCCCACCTCAGACACCCCAAGAAAGCCAGAGTCCAGGCACATCATGAATAAGATGATTTATTCACAAAATGGGAAGGATGAAGAGACAACAGAACTACACTGAGACCATCTCTGGATGTTTCTGGCATATGTGCTTATCCAGTGTGGCTCGGAGGACAAACGGAACAGAGCAGTGTGGGCACTTATAGCGGGGACTGCCAGGCCCCAGACCATGCATGCGGCGGTGGCGGTTGAGCTTGCTACTTTGGGCGCAGGTGTAAGGACACTGGTCACAGGCATAGGGCCGTTCACCAGTGTGTGAGCGCCGGTGTACTGTCAGGTTACTGCTATTGGCAAAATACTTCCCGCAGAACTCACAGCTGCTCCCAGGTCCGCGGCTCTTGCCCATCGACTTGGGGGTCTTCTTGGGTGTTGGCTTCTCACCCTTTATAGGGTCAGTCCTTTGTACTTTGGCAGTGGCTCCCCAGTCCATAGCATCTGGGCCTGCTTGAGCCCCACTGCCAGGGGCCCCAGGTTCCTGTATTCCTGCTGTGGCTGCAGCTCCAGCCTTCTCCACCTCCTGGTGTGGGAGTGTGCTAGCTGGAGCAGCTGCATGGTCAGCTGGTTCTGGAGGGGCTGTTGGAGAGACCCCCCTGCTGGTGGCAGGGGTGCAGGGACTCCCAGGTGTCAGCTGTCGGTGGGTCTTCTTGTGCCTGTTGAGCTTGCTGCTCTGAGCACAGGCGTAAGGACACTGGTCACAGGCGTAGGGTCGTTCACCAGTGTGGGAACGCATATGGACCTTGAGGTTGCTGAAAGAGCTGAGGGTCTTCTTGCACACCAAGCAAGTGGGGCTCCGCCGGGCAGCACTACTCACTGTGGTGGGCTTGTCCTCAACTGGTCCTACCACTGCCACTGCCGACACAGCTGCAGCTACCTCAGCCAGGCCCAACAGTGGGGATTCTGGGGTCTCCGATTCTGTTTGGTAGATGGATAGCCCATGATCCCACTGGGCATGGCATAGCAGCTTCCATGCTCCGGTGAACTGTCTGCCACATCGCAGACAGCTCAGAGCCTTCATCTCCTTGGATTCTGGAAAGGGGAAGAGGGAGCAGGGAGTCAGTGCTTATAGGATGGTTATAGCAGTACCAACCAGGCCAGCATCTTCCTTCACTGATAAAGAGACACAGATGCTACTCTCTGGAAACTTCCTCAACTGTGAAGATGGCTTTCTGTTTCATAGTAAGGGGAGGTCAGCGAGACACTGGAAAATTAGGGACAGGAGCTCCAAAAGCAGATCTGCTGAGACCTCAGAGCTGGGGCCTGGCACAGACAGCTGCCTACTGGGGAGATGGACTAGTGTCTGCTTTCCAAATAGGAAATTTCCCTAGACCCATGGTACACAACTACAGGACACTTTCTAGAGCCACCAAAGACCCAGACTCTGGATGGGAGCCTTGATGATACCATACCAGGACAAAGCCAAGCAGAAACCTGATAAACTGAAGACTCTCCTTAGCTGCATAATCCTGGACAAGACCTATCCTACATGACAAGCCTCAGTTTCCCAAGTTGCTGGACCATAGGAATCTGAGGGGCCCCTTCCAGGGTTTTAACTTCAGATAGGGAACAGCTGAGAATCCTGGTCCCTATAAGCCCTCAAACATAAGATGAGTTGCAGATACCAAAAGATCCACAGCTGAGCCAGGGTGGTGGCACACACCTTTACTCTCAGCGTTGGGAAGGCAGAGGCAGGCAGATCTCTTAAGTTGTAGCCCAACTTTGCCTACTTAGAGTTCCAGGTCTGCCAGGGCTATTTAGAGACCGTGTCTCAAACAAGAGCACCCACAACTATCCAGGCTGCCTAAAAGGCTAAACTCTACACACCAAGTGCCCACTAGTCAGTGCTGGGGTGCTGCTCTGGTAAATCCACCTTAGCCCCTCCCTCAACTAAAGCTGATTGGATTACAGACCCTCCCTGGCTCATCCCTAAATATTAATCTAGTTCCCAAGTTCCAGGCGGGCACAGCAGGAGCTGGAAATTCAAGTTCCGTTCGGATCAAGTACCTAAATCTTGCGACCACTCACCGACAAAGTATCTATCACACATAGTTTGAATTCCTCTTTCATATATTCGACTCTGGAGTATCCAGCGCTCCGACCAGGGGCTTCCCAGCACTCAGCTGGGAGATCCCAGCAAGGGAACACGCCAGAAGCCCCTACCCTGCCTCTGAACTGTCTTGATTAGAAGGATCGAAACACAGTAGGGGTGCGGGCCTCCAACCCTCTCCCGGAGGCCACTGTCCCCACCTCCTCCAGGTCCCTCTACTGCCAACCCTGGTCCAGCCACCTGGCCAGTTATTTCTGTCCGTGGGGAAGGAGAAGTGAAACTAAATTGGGGGTGTATGGCAAAACCCCGGGCCGGTCTTCTGGGGATGGCCACACCTTGTGGGTGGCCTTCCTCCGCTGCCCAGCCCCCGCTCTACCTCTAGTCCCTGCCCTAGGACAGACAAGCCCAGGCCACGCCTAGGTTCTACCCTAAGGGGAGCAAGGAGAAAGGGGAAGTAATGCTTGGTGCCCCATCTGTCCACCTTAGCCCCCTCTCCTCAGGGCAGGAAGCCCAACACTGGATCAGAGGGGGCACTGCACTGAAATTACCTGAAATGGGGCCGACGTCCTGGAGGATCTGACAGCCCAGTTTTTTGTGGTCCATGAAAGCGATGATGGCCTCCAATGGGAAGGTTTGCAGGCAGCGGCCGCAGGTCAACAGATCTGGGTGCTTGTTGGTCCAGGGCTGGCGGTCTGCAGGGAGGAAGCGGGTGGTGAGCGGTGGGGTGGGGCCCGGCTAGGGGTGAGGACACCAAGGTGGAGAGGGGAAACCCGGAGGTCAAAAGCGAAGGCTGGGGCGGCCAGGCCGTCCGGGGCCAACCCCAGGAGAGAGGTACCCACCGGAGGGTTCCGGTACACGCTGGAGCGAGGGTTGGGGACGCCAGGCGGGCCCCAGGGCAGAGAGGTACCCACCCGAGGGTCTCGATACACGCAGGGGCGAAGGCTGGGGACGTCAGGCGGGTCCCGGGGCAGAGAGGTACCCACCTGAGGGTCTCGATACCCGCAAGGGCGAGGGCTAGGGACGCCAGGCGAGTCCCGGGACAGAGAGACACCCACCGGAGGGTCCCGATGCGCACAGAGAGGACTGCGGACTCACCGGAAGGTTCAAGGCTCAGCGGTATCCACGGGGCCCACGGGCTGCGCGCGCCGAGGGGCAGCGGGGCAGTGCCGAAACGACGCTCGGTACCAAGGGGTCCCGGCATGGACACGTCCTTCGGGGCCAAGGGTCCCAGGGCCAAGGCCCCCGCGTCGCGCTCTGGCTTCACATCAATGACGAGCTCTGGCGTCTCCATGTCGTCTTGGTCGGGCTCGGGGTCTACGCGGCGCGGCACGTAGCCGGCCTTGCGGCGGGACATGGAGTACGGCGCAGGTCCAGACAACCCGCTCGGCCGCCGGACGCTCAGGTGAGTGGCCTGCGGAGACCCGCGCCGAACTTTTTACACGTGCTGGTCCTGCGGTGGCTCCGCCCATTAGGGGCGGTGCCTTGCAAGGCCAGTCGCAGAGGCCAAACCCGACCTTCCTGGCCCTGCCCGCTGCCCCGGGGTGAGTGCGCCTACTATCCGCTCCACTAGTGGGAAAATGCTGTTTCCAAACCACCACAGCGCTGGTGTTACCTGAGATTCGGGATGTCTCACCTCATACCCCAAACGAGAGGTGGTGGACACCTCTTAACAGATGGGAAGAAAATTCGCTCTTTAAACATTCATCTTCCTTTCTTTCCAATATTTTTTTTTTCCTTTTTCTCTAAGATAGCCCTTGGGTAGCTCAAGCTGACCCCGAACTGGATAAGTAACAAGTAACAGATGATTGATCTTGCCCCCGCCTCGCCAGTGTCGGTTTTACAGGGATACATCACTACACCTATTTTATGTGGTGCTGGCCATCGAACCCAGAATGTGCATTCTAGGGCAAGCATCCTACTCATGGGCTACATCTCCAAACTTTGGAACCCCATTTCTGAGCACCTACAGTAACAGCAATGAAGAAACCGTGCCATAATCTTACAATGTGGAGATGCGGGGGGGGGGGGGGGGGGGGGCGCTTCTGGTAATCCAAGCTACCCAGGAGGCTGAGGATCACAATTCAAGACCAGCTGGGATTATTTCATAGTACATGGAATGCCGTATGTTTTGACAAGTGCTGTGGGGGAAAAAAATCAAGCTGGGCAGGGGGCAGGGTTGCACCCAAAAAAGGGATTTGGTTTCCTACTCTGTACCAGGACTGAGAACGCAGGTCAGTATGGAGACCTTGGAAGGCAGTGGTAGCCATTGCAAACTGGTAGTCTCAGCATACTGAGTGTGGAAGCAGAATCAGCAGTTCAAAAACAGTGTCTGTCAGCTACATGGGGAGTTTGAGACTCTGACAAAAAATAAATTTAAAACAAAAAAAGCTGATTTTGGTGGCGGTACACTGTGTAATCTCAAGTGCTTCACTCGGAGTTGGAGGCAGAAGGATTGCCCAAGAGTTCCTGACCAGACTGGTCTACATAGTGAGCTCCAGGCCAACTGGGATACTACTTGGGGAGATCTTGTCCCCAATCAGTCTAAAGATCTGAGGTTTGTGAGGGAGCGAAGGAGAGCCAAGAGCCTGAGCATTCAGGACTAAAGGAAAGGGAAGCACACCCAGAAACGTCTTTTGGTAACTTTGAGGTTTGTTGCTTCTGCTGGTACCAGGGGCTTCGAAGATTCGAGTCAAACGGAGCACTAATCATCCACCTCTGCTTTCTTTGTAAGCCCAGGCTACTATCAAAACTAAAGAAATGGCCAGCAGTCCTCTGCCTTCCTCTGGGGCCTCTGAAATTTCTCTCAGATAAGAATTTTCGTTTTTCTTTCTTTTCTTTTCTTTTTTACAAGACAGGGTTTCTCTGTAGCTTTGGAGCCTGTCCTGGAACTAGCTCTGGTAGACCAGGCTGGCCTCAAACTCACAGAGATCCGCCTGCCTCTGCCTCCCAAGTGCTGGGATTAAAGGCGTGCGCCATCGCTGCCCGGCAAACAAGAATTTTTTCTGCTGCACTGTTGGAAGTGGCAGGACACGCTGCCCTGCCCCCAATCACACACCACAGGTCACAGGAGAACTGTTTACTGCCCCCCCCCCCCATTACAAACTCCCCTAGGTTAAGGCCAGTAGTGCCTGCCCCAGGTATCCTGAGGCTGAACTCTGAAGTCCCTCACATTGTTATTCAGGCGTGGACTCTATTGTCCTCCTGCAGGTCCAGGACCTCCCTGGGCAGTTTATCTAAAGTAGCCACACCCTGCCGTAGGCCTTGCAAATTAGTCCTGATGACCTCCACCTGTTCCTAATTCCTTCCTAAACTCAAGGAAGACCTCGAGAGCCTCCAAAGGTGACTTTATTTTATTTATTTATTTACTTGTTTACTTGTTTTTGAGGCAGGGTTTCTCTGTGTAGCGCTGCACATTGCAGCCGGTCCTGGAACTCGTTCTGTAGACCTGCCTGGCCTCGAACTCACAGAAATCACCTGCCTCTGCCTCCCCAAATGCTGGGATTAAAGGCTTGTGCCATAATGCCTGGCCCAAAGGTGGATTTTTAAATGTACTTTTAAAGATTATTAAATCACTTTATTTATTATTTATCTTCAAAATATGTCTATTTGTTTTCTCTCTCTCGTGTGTTTCCATACGCTGCAGCCTGCAAGTGGGGGTCAAAGGACAATTTTCAGGTGTCCAGTCCCTTTCCTTCCTATGTGGGTCTAGGGAATTGAACTCCTGTCCTTAGGTTTGGCAGCAAGCTCATTAATATTAATCCACTGAGCTATCTCCTTTTTTTTTTTTTTTTGAGAAATGTGAAGGCTAGGGTTGGGTTTTTGTTTTTGAGACAGGGTCTCTCTATGTAGCCCTGGCTGTCTCAGGACCAAGCTGGCCTGGAACTCAGAGATCTGCCTGCCTCTGCCTCTGCCTCTTGAGTGCTGGGATTAAAGGTGTGCACCAGCAACTAGGTGGTGGTGTTGGCACACACCTTTATTCATTCATTCATTTATTCATTTATTTATTTATTTATTTATTTATTTTTGGTTTTTCTAGACAAGGTTTCTCTGTGGCTGTCCTGGAACTAGCTCTGTATACCAGGCTGGTCTCGAACTCACAGAGATCTGCCTGCCTCTGCCTCCCGAGTGCTGGGATTAACACGCCTTTAATCCCAGCACTCAGGAGGCAGTGACAGGCAGATCTTTGTGAGTTCCAGGCCAGCCTATTTCCCTTCCTTCCCTCCCTCTTTCCTTCCTCCTTTCTTTCTTTCTCTCTTTCTTTTTTCTTTTCTTCCTTCCCCACTCCTGTTTCTTCTTTCTTTCCCTCCCTTCTTATCCTTATTTCCTTTCTTCCAGGCTGGCTCCAAATTCACACCAATTCTCCGTCTGCAGATGCCCCATTTGATCACTGAATTTTAAGTCCTTCTTAACTTGCTAAGTTTTTTCCTACTGTCCTTATTGTCTCCTTTTTGGAGGATGTAAGGGACCAGAACCCAGGGCCTTGCATTGGTTAGCCCAGTGCCCTGTCACAGAGGTATATGCCCAGCCTCATATCCTTCTCCCTTTGTCTGTTCTAACAGGTCCATGCTCTGTAGCACAGGCTAGCCTTCAACCTGAGATCCTCTTGCTTCAGCTTTATCAAGCATCAGATACAATTTAGCTTTTTTTTCCCTCTTGTGCTAAGGATGGAACCCATGGTCTTGTCATGTTAAGTAAGCCAAACCGAATCTTGCCCCAGTCTCTCTGAAAGATCTTGGTTTATTTTTACTTTTTTTTTTTTTTTTTTTTTTTTTGTGAGAAAGGGTTTCCTGGAACTCACTTTGTAGACCAGGCTGGCCTCGAAATCACAGAGATCCACATGCCTCTGCCTCGGAGTGCTGGGATTAAAGGCGTGCGCCACCACTGCCCAGCAATTTTGGTTTGTTTATTTGCTCACTTTTAGCCACTTCCCCAATTCGAAAGCGAATGCAGGTTCTGAGAGAGCAAGATCGGGGTGACCAGTTCCATTCTTTACTTTTTCTCAGTGACATAGGACTCTCTGATTCTGCTTCGGAAGTCCTCCAGCTTGGCCTCCCTGGTAGCTCGGACAGGCAGGCGCCCAGTACCCAGCTTCTGCTTTCATGCTTTAATCAACAACTGTGTGAGGAGGGGCGCTCTTTCCAGGAATGTCTGCAGAGCACCTGTGCACCAGGCAGTAATGGGAATGCCACCATCCTCCCCTCCCTCAGCGGAACTCTGGGAATAAAATCAGTTCTACCTGGACCAAGATTGGTGAGGTTTCCCATTCTCCCCCAGAGAGCGCTGGGGATTCCAAGCCTGGGAGTCACCATGCTCAACTTTTTGAGCTTCAGTTTCGTACTCCCTAAAGTGGGTATCTTAGACTCCCCTAACTCGCAAGCTGGCAGAGCCCAGCGCTGGCCCGGCGCCCCACAAGTGGCCAACCAACACGTGGGGAAGCGGCGGCGCGGGCGGAACTCAGGCGCGTGGGGCTCGGTGCCCACCCGGACCCTTTGGCGACTGCGCTAGCGGAACCCAGGCGGTCCGGGCTGGGTGCCTGCTGGGACCTGTGCGGCGGTGGCGGCAGTGCGGGCGGAAGTGCAGCGTCTTCAGCGACGGCCTGGGTGAGTGCGCTATGGCCTTGAGCCCGTCAGCCGCTTGCTGTGCTGCCCAGAGGAGGTGACCTGGAGAGGGACTGTGTTCGGACGCCGGGCGGGGTGGGAGGTGGCTACCCTGGGGCTGGAGGACACGCTTAGAATTAGAAAGGAAGCAGATCTGCCCACGGGCGCCTGCGAGAGAACAGATCCGCCCTCTGCCTGCTTATTCTCTGAAATGGCCCAGTTTATCGAATTTGCAGGGTGGCGGGAGTGGACAGTTATCTCCTGGTGTGCGTGAACAAATAAACACGTGCTTCCTCGCCTGGAAGCTCAGCCAATTACCATCCTGATAACGCTAGGTGGACCTAGTGCCCTCCAAGCGGTAGCCCTTGGCTTGTCTTGAACTCACAGTGTGATCCAAGGTAACTCAATTTTCCATCCCGTCTTCACCTGCCAAGTGCTGGGATTACAGGCCTGCTCTACCACAATTTATGCTAAACTATTGATGGAACTCGTTTAATGCTTGCTCCACAAGTCCTATACCTCCACCCTTCCCCGTCCCCATTCCCCGTCCCCTTCCTACGTAATTCAGGCTGCTTGTAGAACTCTCCACTACCAAAGGCTGGCCTTGGTCCGAGGTGTTCCCTGTCTCAATTGCTCAAGTTCTGGGGTGTTGGCCTAGCTCTGCTCGCCTTGAGACCCCAAACAAAGACCTTTGAACTGCTGCCTCTTCACTGACCAAAGTCATGGGACAGATTAGCCAGGCACTGGGATGGATGGGTTTGGATTTTAACCTCTGGGCATGAAATCCAGGATCTCTGGATCAAGGACTCTGAGGTCAGGCCAACAGGGAAGATGAGTAATTCTAGGTGTCCTTACTAGACATTCTAGACATTAGCACATAATCTTCCTTACTTCTCTCAAGTCCTTTTTATTGCCCCTTTTTTTTCCTTTTTGTTTTTCGAGACAGGGTTGCTCTGTGCAACAGTCCTGACTGTTCTTGAATTCACAGAAATCCCTACCTCTGCCTCCCAAGTGCTGGGATCAAAGGTGCCGCAATCAAAGGTGTGCACCACCACCTGGTTGTTGCTGTTTTGTTTGTTTTTCTTTTTCTTTTTTTTCTAAGAGTGGAACATGGTAGGGGTTCCAATTCTTTTGTGTGTTTGACACAGGATGTCTTGTAACCCAAGCTGATCTACAAATTGTTTTGTAGACCTTGAACTTTTCATCTTCACCAGAGTCTGGTGTTTATATGGTAATGGGGATGGAATTCAAGGCCTCTTGTATATTAGGCAAGCACTGGGCACCAATTGAGCAATATTCGTAGCTTTTTAAAAAAAAACTATTTATTTCATATGCATTGGTGTTTGTGCCTGCATGTGTATCTGTGTAATGGTGCCAGATCCCCTGGTACGTTACAGACAGTTGTGGGCTGCCATGTGGGTGCTAGGAATTGAACTCAGGTCCTCTGAAAGAACAGCCAGTGCTCTCCACTCCACACCCACCCCCGGAGACAGGGTTTCTCTGTGTATCCCTGGCTGTCCTGGAAACCACTCTGTAGACCAGACTGGTCTGGAACTCACAGACAGTTCTGCCTGCCTCTGCCTCCCAAGTCCTGGGACTAAAGTTGTGCACCACCACTACTGGGCAATATTCTTTTTCTTTTTCTTTTTTTCTTTTTTTTTTTTTTTTTTGGTTTTTCGAAACAGGGTTTCTCTGTGGCTTTGGAGCCTGTCCTGGAACTAGCTCTGTAGACCAGGCTGGTCTCGAACTCACAGAGATCCACCTGCCTCTGCCTCCCTAGTGCTGGGATTAAAGGCGTGCGCCACCATCGCCCGGCTCTGGGCAATATTCTTATCTCTTAAGTCAGTTTTTATTTCTTTTTCTTTCTTTCTCTCTCTCTCTCTCTCTCTTTTTTTTTTTTTTTTTGGTTCTTTCAAGACAGGGTTTCTCTGTAGCTTTGGAGCCTGTCCTGGAACTAGCTCTTATAGACCACGCTGGCCTCGAACTCACAGAGATCTGCCTGCCTCCAGTCTTTGTTTCTTAAATCAAGTCCCACCTTGTGTCCAGAGCCTTCAGGGCCCAGGCTGTTAACAGAACCGGCTGAGGAGAAAGCGCTTGCTCCAGCAGTCTTTCTCTGACCTCTGACAGCCTGGACCTAGCAAAGGAACAGCTAGCCTTGTTCCTGTAGCAAGGGGGCTCAGTGCGCGTAGAAGCACTCACCACCAAGCTGACAGCCATCAAGTGGTCCTCTCCCTGTGACTCCTGCGACCTCTCCTTTGACCTCACCTTCACACGTGCACCGTGACACACCCACAAAACCCAAGACACTGCAAACACTAAAAAAAATTTGACAGTCTCTTTAAGCCCAGGCTGCTTTCATACATTAGTTGCAGTTCCTCTGGACCATTGTGGATGTGAGTGCCAGGCCTGAGTGAGGCTAGAATGAAGAGGCTGTATCTCAGTCTTAATGACTTATCCCCAGAATCATAGAAAGCTGTGATAGAGGTAGACAGAAAGGGACAGGGATGCAGTTCAGTTAGTAGAGAGCTTGCCTCTCACGCAGGAAGATTTGACTACCACCCCTAGCGTGCACGCTGTAAACTGACGCGGTAAAGCAAGCCTGTAATCCTGGCCCGTGGAGGTCAAGGCATTAGGGTCAAAAGTTCAAGGTTATCCTGGGCTACAGGAAGTTAAGACCAGTGTGGCCTAGGACCCTCTCTCACAAAGAAAAAAAGTCTCCCCCCCCCCAAAAAAAAAAGGCAAAAGAGCCCCATCTGGTGTCACAAACCTGCTGCACACCTAAGAGGCAGGCAGGGTGCCTGTATATTCAGGGTCAGTCTGAGCTACTTAGCTAGGATACTGTCTCCAAAACCATCTAACAACAGACAAAATTCCCTACCTGGGGTGGGTCAGGGGTTGGCACAGGTTTTAAACAGTAGAGCTGTGGTGTGGAGGTGAAACACTAGTCTGTCTCTATTGGAGCTGTGTCGCCTTAACCCCTTCTACATTCTTCCTTAGCCAGGGCCATGCAGACCCCGATGCCCATTCCTATGCCAGTGCCAGTGCTCCGCCTTCCTCGGGGCCCTGATGGCTTTAGCCGAGGCTTTGTCCCTGATGGACGCAGGACCCTCCTGAGGCCAAAAGTTCCAGAAGTCGGAGGAGAAGGTTGTATTCAAGACCCCCCAGAATTGCAGGAACAGCGGGCCAGAGCCGCTCTCCGAGAGCGCTACCTCCGCAGCCTCCTAGCCATGGTGGGCCACCCTGTGAGCTTCACGCTGCATGAAGGTGTGCATGTGACCGCTCAGTTTGGAGCCACAGACCTGGATGTAGCCAACTTCTACGTGTCCCAGCTGCAGACTCCCATAGGCGTGCAGGCAGAAGCCTTGCTTCGATGTAGTGACATCATTTCCTATTCCTTCAAGCTGTAAAGATGGGTGTCTCCCTGGTAGGCTTTGCCACAGTATCCTTGGTCTCCAGCTGTTCTTGGGCCACAGAGCTCTCCGCACCTTCTCAGACTTCCACATCCTGTTCCAAGGAACTCTAGCTTCACTCCAAACACACCTGGTGCTGCGAGTTGATAATCCCAGCTCTCAAGAGGCTGTGGTGGGAAGATTGGAAATTCAAGGCCGGTTCATGCTGCATTGGGAGATGACTACATTCTAGATCTCATTTATTAAAAGTACAGTACTACCTCAGAACACTGAACTTCACAGCAACAAGGCCCCGAGGCTAGTCCCTAAGGCCAGGGTGGGGTGGGAGGTGGGCTCTAAGAACAGCTGAGGTGGGTGGGCACTGAAGAGCTCTGAAGCTGCTTCTCAATCTCCCCTCCTGCCAAAGAAACCATCATCCAATGAACTCTGGCTCTTGTTTCTTTCTTTATTTTATTTTTGGTTTTTTGTAACCCACTCTGTAGACCAGGTTGCCTTCAACTCAGAGATCCACCTGCCTCTGCCTCCCGAGTGCTGAGATTAAAGGCATGAGCCACCACTGCCTGGCTCTTGTTTCTTTTTAAAGTTTTATTATTATATGTGGGTGGGTGTTATGCTTACATGGATGTCTGTGTATCACATGCATGCAGTGCCAGCCGAGGCTAGAAGAGGGGCCCAGTTCAATGGAGCTGGAGTTAGAGGCAGTTGAGAGCCACTCTCTGGAATCTGTGATAGCAGCCAGTGCTCTTAACTGCCGAGCTATCTTCCCACCCTACCCCCAAGCTTTTTTAAAGACTGGATCTGGCTATGTAGACCAGGCTGGTTTGTAATTCACAATCCTCCTGTCTCCTCCCAGGTGCTGGGATTTCGAGCCAGATTACCTTGATTTTCCGTTTACCCTTTAGTTGTGTTCCATGGAGGAGAGTCCCATATTTAACATTTTTTTGTTTTAAGATTTTAAAATTTAGGTGTTATGTCTGTACTTCGTGAGTATAGGTGCTTGAAGAGGTCAGATGAGGGTGTCTAGTCAGCAGGAGCTGGGGTTATAGGTGTGTGTGAGCTGCTAGACATGAGTGCTGAGGCCAGGATTCAGCTTCTCTGGAACATCATAGCAAGTGCTCTTAACTGCTGAGCTGCTTTTTCTGGTGTAGTATTTAAAAGTTAGTAGGTGGTAGAGGCAGGTAGATCTCTGTGAGTTTGAAGCCAGCCTGTCTCCAGATTGAGTTCCAGGACAGTCAGAGCTGTTACCCAGAGAAATCCTATCTCAAACCCCTTCCCCCATGTAGTAACAGCAGCAGTTGCTGCCAAAAAAACAACAAAAGGTGGGGTAAAACCTGTGGGGCTCAGCCATGATGGTAGGGATCCAGCTGAAAGTAGATGCACTGCTCCTGGTCTCCCCAAACGGTCTTCGTTCTCTGTTCTCTAGAGAACAAGAGATCGGCAAGGGTGGCCCTTTACTACGAAGAAGCAGCGTTCCCTTCCCGTTTTGGTTTCCCACAGCAGGAGATGGCAGTGGTGGTGGTGTTCACAGGCTTCTGCGTGACAGTGCTGCACATTCGCCAGTTAGCATGAAGCATCACCCTTCCTCAGTGTGCTCCAGCCTGTTTCTCTCTCCTGTCCCTAGAAATCTTTCAGTAAGATGGTATTCAAAAGCAGTCCCCAGCTGGGCATACGGGTACGTCCGCAATCCCAGCACTTGGGATGGGGAGGGGTGTAGAAGTAAGAGGAGCGGGAGTTAAGGACAGTCTTTCCTGCATAGCGAGTCTGAGGATAACCTGGGTTAGGTGAGAAGCTGGCAACAAACAAAACCCATTTCATGCCTTTTAGTTTAAGTTCAAGTAAATGAAGAATACATTAATTGTAGGGGCTTTTGGTACTTCTCAGTCTCCAAAGTGCAGGCACCCACAACTGAGCAGGAAAGCCTCAGCCGCCACCCCTCGGTTCACAGCGACGCTTCCAGTTAGTGTCTGCCTAGCTCTCTAGTAGTCTTGGCAACGCCGTGCTCGCCCCTCCCTGAATCCCCTTCTTTGGTTTCAGTCTCACTAGCCCGGGCCTTGTTTGTCATGGGCTGTTAAGGCGGAGCGAAAGTACTGAGGCGAATTCTGAGCTATGGTATCATTCCTTGGAGGCGTGGCTTCGGCTTGCTCAGGTTTGGGTCTGTTGACTTACCTCTTCGGAATGTCTTCCAATTTTGTTGTTTTAATCAGGTTCATGAATACCCCCACAGACGGGTGTTCTCATATTGTAATTTACATGTGATAGTGATACGAGTCTGACGAGACAGTGAAATTAAAGTCTGCAAATGGAAAGCAAGGGGACAGAGATCTTGTCCGTCAGCTTCTGTCACTTATGCGTGCTCATCTTATAGTACTCAGCTTTCATGGCCTTTCAATGCCCCCAGCCCTTTACCCAGCTCCCAGCCTTGGCAGCCCCGCCAGGGACTCACTCTCGAGCGCCTGCTGATCTGGCCCCGAGCTCTCAACCTCCTGCTTCAGCCTCTCCAAAGCCAGAATTACAGGCGTGCTGCTACCATGCCCAGAAGGTAGTTGGGTTTTTTAAAATCAATGTTTCTGATTCTTAATTTATATTTTCAATTTTTATTTCTTACGGTCGTGCGTGTGAAGATCAGAGAACAATTTTGTGGAGGCGGTTTTTTCCTTCCACATTTACGTGGGTTTTGGGTATCGAACTCAGATGGCATTAACAGCTGACAGCCCTTTTGCAGGCCCCGGTGATACGATTTCTGTCGAATTCATTCCCGAATTACTTGGGCTCCTGACGAATGTGCGGGAGCCTGAGTGCTGACAGCTAGGTTGAAAGGCGGGTTGGTGGTGGTGGTGGTGGTCTGAGAGTCGCGCATGCGCGCTGCTCCGGGAGACCGCGTCCACCTGGCCCCGCCCCTGGTGTTCTGCAGTTCTTCCTCTGCAGATTCGTCGCTCACGTTTCTCTTTCCCGTGGATCCTACTGCTCTTTGTTTCTATCGTCGTGTTTCTCTCTTAACGATCCTTTCAGAACAAAAGCTTGAATCTGTGTTGTGTTTTTCTCGGTACGCAGCGGGCGCCTCGGACCGTAACGAAAGTGTGGCTGCGGACGAGCAGGTACCCGCTGAGCTAGGCAGAGGCGCGTTGGGGCTCCCGGCGGCGGCGGCGACGACAACGACGACTACGACAGGAGCGGACGGAGGCGGCGCCTGAGGCAGCGGCTAAGCCCATGCCCCGGAACGGCGGGCGGACTCGGAGAGACGAGTCTAGGGCCCGGGGCATGTCCCCGGGGCCCCCGTGAGGAGGAGGCGGCGGCGATGGAGATCCCGCCGCAGGAGGCTCCGCCCGGGCCGGGCGCGGACGCCGACGCGGACGCCGAGGAGGCCTCAGCCGAAGCCGGGTCTCCTAGCGCGGCCTCGCCCCCGGCCGATGGGCGACTCAAGGCTGCAGCCAAGCGCGTCACGTTTCCGTCGGACGAGGACATCGTGTCCGGAGCTGTGGAGCCCAAAGACCCCTGGAGACACGGTAGCTACGGCGAGGGTCGCTTGCGTGGACGAACTGAGGGGCGGGGGGGACCGCGACAGCGCTGACCGGCACGGAGGTGGCGCACGGAGACAGCGGTGTCTAGTTTAGAGCTGGGGGCGGGGAGGGCTTGGAGGGAGAGTTGGGAAGATGCACGGGACTGGGTTCTCAAACCCTTTTGGGAGGCTGGCAGCCAGCCTTTGAGTTCAGAGTACGTCCAGTGATAGATGGAGAGAGCCGGTCCACAGAATTGGGGAAAAGGTAAGTGTCTGGGGCTGCGGGGTGGCGAGAGTGGAGCTGCTGGTCTGCAAACCTCTAGCGAGGCAAAGGGTGGCTTTGGCCATTGCTGTCCTGGCACTGGACTGCGTAGGGAAGTAAACCCTCGGACTGGGAAAAGAGGCTCAGAGGCAGTAGGCAGGAAATCATAAGACGTGGTGTCCAGTTTGAGGGTGGAGATGAATTCCACAGGAAAGTTCAGTAGCAGAACGTGGAGCCCGGTTTTTGGCAGGGTATTTCTGGGGAAGGATTTAGAGATTTTACCTACTTGGGCTTCTCTGGTCAACAGAAGGTGAAAGCCAGGTGGCTTGTTTTTTTGGGAGCTAGGAAGATCTGTAGGTCTGGGTCTCTTGGAAATGGTTAGTGGGGGTGGTGGAACCAAAAGGGCACTTCAAGGAGTGCATTAGCTTCAGTGGCCAGGGCAGGTGAAAGGTTGCTGGGGAGATGGACACAGGTGAACCCCATTTCTGTGCTGAAGAATTCTGTTTTGCTGGGGTGGAGCCAGTGAACCGAGGGCACCCACTGGTCGTGTTCTTTAGAAACCAGCCTGCGTGTCTGGGAACAGACAGATACTACTGCCAGGCTGTGGGCAGCAGAGTGGGCAGCTGGTGGCTTTGATGTGTGTTAGGGTGGGGAACTGGATTGCAGGAAATGGTACACTGGGAGCCCGCCATAAATGCCAGTTTGGCTAGTAATTATCAAAGAGACCACAGTTAATTTAGCCTCGGCCTGGGGGGCCAGCCAGGGGCTGGGTGGTCTGTTTTGGGTTCTGAACTTATGGAACCAGTGCGCAGGACCCGGAGAGTCAGCTGGGCCCTGGCAGCAGCCTGGTGACCAGTGTGGAGAGATCAGAGCAGGAAGGGGAGAGGTGGAGCAGTGTGGCCATTCAGAAGTGGGTTGGAAACCTGGTGTGGCTGTCTGCAGCTGTGAACCCAGAGAAGGCTGAGGCTGGAAGGTGGTGCCTTTTAGGAGGGTTTGGGCTGCATGGTGAAACCCTGTTTCACTATAAGAAAGCAAAAGGAAAAAAGAAAGGAAGGAAAGACAGCTGGATTGAATTATGTCTTCCCATTTACTCTCTGCAGTTGCAGAGAGTTTACTGGGGACTAAGTGAAGTTACACGTGAACAAATACCTGGTGAGGCTGAGCCCTTCTAAATCTGTGATAATTGCCAAGGCAGTCTTGGGGCCTGGAGAGAGGTTGCTCATTTAATGGGGCCAAAATGGACTGTGTCTAGGTCTTCCAGGATGAGGGTTCGTTCAGATGGTGGGCTTGGAGGTGAGGGCACTTAGAGAGTTGGACATACTTCTGGGCAAAGTTTCTGACCCACAGTTTTCCTGAAAAGGCAAAGCCTTTCGTTACTTTTTGAATTAAATTTAATTGTTTTGAGACTGTCTTATAGCACAGGATCACTTTCAACTTCTGACCCCCCTCCTTGCCTCTATATCCCGAATGATGGGATTACAGGTATGTGCTAACACTTATTTTATGCAGGGCTAGGGGTGGAGCCTAGGGCTTTCTTAGTGCCAGGCAAACACTCTACCATAGAGCACACTTGTAGCCTCTCTATGGTTTTTTTGTTTGTTTGTTTGTTTGCTTGCTTGCTTGTTTTGTTTTTGAGATGGGGATAGAATTTGATAGTCCAGG